ACGACATTACATGTATCTCTATGAATATTTTTAAACCTGACTAAAAAATAATTTAATTGAGGGCGCACTGATCATTTGTAAGACACACAGCTTTGCGGGGCATCCCGCTATATAATAACAATAAAAGTTATTGTGTTGTTGACCTTTTCAGAGTTTGTTGACCTTTTATCCAGGGGACTAAGACTTTGTTTTGCAGGTTCCTTTCACAAGTGAAATGTTCAACCGACCCGACTTTCATCGAAGTTGGTGACACCACCTGAAAAATGTGCCAGCGTGACACCGAATTCCGCTACCATTTACATGTAACAAGAAATTCATACGAGTTTTCATAAGTTTCAAAATACCATATTTATTTAGGCAAAGTTAAAATATAATTGGCCCTGCATAGGACTGCAAGTAGACTGGTTCCCAGTACCATCAGTACCGATAATATAAGGGGTTGGGAACCAGTCTACCCTTCAAGAAATGGAATCATTGTCAGGGTGCATAAATTTAGTCAAACTACATGTACTTGAATGCATTGTATAAGTACCGAGTACATTTACATACATGTACAATGTATGCAAACATAACTTGTTTGAAAAAAAAAAAATTCGGGGGGGGGGGGGGCTGTTATGCTCTCTTTCAAAAGTGAAACTCTTTTTATTGCTAGAAAGTTCACCAATTAAAACAAAATGAGTATTTCAGGATGACACTCAAAAATAGTAGAGACAGCACCTTTCACTTTCATTATTTTTGTGTAAAGTTAAACTTCTGTATCAACCAAACTGAACGTGTCTGTACCAAAACGAAACAGCTTCAAAAAAATATTCTTTAAATTTGTACTTCCTGTGAGCACTATAGAGATCAAATTTCAAGTATCAAAGCATATTTATTATAAACTCATATCAGTTTGTTTAAAGGTCAGGCTTAGACTGTGCTGTTGTTGCTCTTTATAACCAGTAACCACACATTGTACGTGTATAGCAAATAACACATTTTGACAAAGTCAAGGTACAATTTGTGCAGTACACTACGTACATGTACATGTACACGTACATGTACATGTACCAGTACCACTGACTATACACCCATATGGGTATCCGTGTAAACTTAGTCTTAATACAGTACTTTGTGCACTGAACATTTATCTGATGCTATTCTCTATCTGTGAATCACACACTGGGCATCACATGACTGTGTGGTTTTTTCTGGGAGTATTTTTGTCTGAAGCTAGTTGGACAGGACGTCTGCTTTCCTGTCAGTGACTTAATTGCTGGCTAGTCTGCTACAATGTCAGCACTGAGAGTGAAAAGTGTTGCCTTCAAACACACTGTAAATATGTTGGGTTTACTTGCTTTAACTTGACACTGACCTTCAAAGTTTGCATACTGCGCTGGGCGTATTCCAGAACTTTGAAGAGTTTTGAAGTGTGTATACATGTACATGTAGTTGGATTATTGTAGTGAATAATTGAACTGTACTTACACTTGGTTTTTAGTTACAGTTGTATTTTTTTATCATTTTTTGACTAAGTGTATAGGCCTATATGTTGCACTCAAGCTGTAGGCAAACGTGTCATCCATGTTGATTGAAAAAAGGAATAAATATGTGTTTCGGAGGTATTATAACACTCTGTTTAAAACCGGTGTGAGTCTGGATGGGTAATTGTCACATTAACGTTGAACGTTGAACGTTCAACCAATGAAACGTTGAACGTTCAACCAATGAAACGTTAAAAGGCACCGGATTTCATGGGAGTCCAAATTTCATGTGAAACAGGAAAAGTGTTTAAGACCAGCTAGCCATGTCTTTGTCATCCGTTTAAGACCGGCCACGTGACGGGCTCTCGACCAATAGGAATGCCGAAACTGTCTTAGGTATTTATGAATTGAATTTCATGAAGTTTTCTCTTTCTTTTTTTTCCATTAAAACTCATTGTCTTGTTGGAATCTTGAATCAGTGGACCTTATTCATGAAGAAGCCATTTTTGTCGTGTTCCCTGAATGTGTTCCACAAATTGTTAACTGTTGAATAGGATAGCGCCAGACTATTTAAATGCAGCCTTATTTTACTTTCATTTTTTTTTAATCTGGCTTAAAACATTAGGGAATGTTTAATTATAAAATTTAAATTATTCGTTTAAGCAGACATGAATTATTTAGTAATGTTCTTGCTTTCATTTCTCTTTGCAAGTTCCAAAAACTGGAGATTTTACCTCACTTTCAATTCAACATGGCTGACTTGTGAATAAGGCCCATTGAAGTTTTATATTACAAAATGTACATGTGTACTTGATTTAATTGCAATTCAGGATCGTGGAGCCAATAAACCTTAACTCACTTTACATAGTACCCGTAATGCATGTACAATTTTGTACATGCATGTACATCGGTCTTGCCGTTCCATTTCTTTACTTCGGGATAGCAACTCAACAAATCATCATGTCTCTCGTTAGTCACTTAGCCAATATTGAACTTTTATTCATTTTTATGGTTTGAAGTAGAGATATATGTGGTCACATACTTATGTACATGAACCTAAAAATTATAAAAGTGGTTGATTTAAACAAATACACGTATCTGACAATGTTTGACAAAATAGGGATCGGTAATTGTTTCTGTTGTATTTTGAAACTGAAAGAATGGATTCAGTGCCAGTATTGTATGTTTAACTTTCTTTGTTATACTTTTAAGCCAGTTTCAGTTTATGTTTAGTGCGAAGTAATATATGAAGTGGACATGAACTTGTGAATAAACATATTTCCTGGGATGGTACCGGTATGCCCCTTCTATGATAAACGTACATTCTGTGCCAAGTACAATGTAGTCCTTTGAGTCATAATCAATCAAGTGACTGTTTTCAACGGTTAAGAATTCCCAGCCTACATAAAGCAGAATTGACTGGCTGGGACTGTTTAAAGATATAGTCCATCATTTGTAATTTGTGCATTTTGTTCGTTTGAAGCAACAAAAGTGTTCAAAATCTAATGAAGGATACTGAACAACTAACCTGATGAAGTTTCAGCTCAGCTTCAGCTGTATATTCCGAGAAAAACAGCATTCTAGGATCTCAATTTGAAATCAAAAGTTGCTGAATCATGTTTTGAATTGGGCCTGAATTGTGTCCGAGACGCGTTCTCACTGAGCCGATTGCAGCTACATGTATACGCGATGTCGTACACTGATCCGACGAATTATAGCAACCGCACGCGCGTGTGCGTCGTGCCAATGCTTGCGCGCACTTTGCCGAATAACAAAACGAACTACTAGTTTAAATTTTCCTACGGTGCGTCTTAAGACGCACCGTTGGAAAGGCCTTCTTTCGTTGATTACTTCAAAATGACAGCTTGCCAGAAAGAATAATTTCACAGGGAGTTTAGTCCCCTTACTATCTTCCAACCGAGTATGTTTTTCAACAATAATTACGCCAGTTACTTTTCGGATGGCTGCAAATGATGGACTATAGCTTTAAGTTACTTGGTACAGCTATGATTTTACCCTGGGTGAGCGATAAAACAGCTTTGACCACTCGCTTGACATATGATCTGACTGCTGGTGACTAGCCTTTGATAAAAGTATAGCAGGGGGAAGTGGAAGTGAATTTTGACTGTCTGTGACTGTTTAAATAGCAAGACGGTTAGTGTCAACAAAACCCTCACTATTTCATCCTTGGCCTACATGTACATTGAACAAGCCTCACTTTCACAGTTAGGAAATCACCGCAACATCTCTTTTGTAGACCTACAGTATCATGCCTATAGCCTTATTTGTGGGTTTTGGCAATGTCTTGCACACATTTTGACATTTAACCCTCCTATTTGATTGGTCAAAGACAGTTAACAATTTCTTCCCCTGCCATGTATCTGTATACAGACTAGTAAAATACCGGTGACAGTCAGATCACATTCGGGTGAACACCCATTCTAAAATTTTTATCCTTGTGGAGACATTTCTTTGTAATCGTGTAGTAAAGTGTTCAATTTTGAAAGTGAAGTTTCAAAATGCTCTTATTTTAACCAGAATTAGTTTCCTTGGCTGAAATTTGGAATTAATATCCCTTTTCTAAAACTCTTCCATTTGCGACAGATCAACCCACCATGGAAATTCCTAGTTTTTGAGTAAAACCCATATATCTATTTTGTGAAAAGCTTGTGGAGACCTATTCATCTATAGAAATTGCCCTGTGGAGACCTTTACAATGTTTTGTTCCCTATTGTGTGTGAGTCTCCACAAGGATACAAATTTGTGGTCACTGCAACTAGTCAATTCCATCTGTGAGTGGAAGTGTTTTTCATAGACAACAGACCAAAGTCAAAGCGTGGCTACACATGTATCAAATTAGCAAGGGAATTCTAGCCAGCTAGCCATGTCGTTATCATCCGTTTAAGACCAGCCACATGACGGGCTCTCAACCAATAGGAATTTTTAAAAGTGGAAAGGTATGAATTATATTTAAAGGGAATGTATATCATTGGCTTTCGCAGTTATTTTCAGAAATGAACTAGTTGAGGGGTTTGTATAATAGATCAAAATATTGTTACACTGACATGTTTGAAGTGTTGAGTCCGAAAATGCTGGAAAACCAAGAAAAACTAAAAATTTCAAGTAGTCTGGTTCCCTGACTCCACTAAAGATGAAATGGATCAATTTTAGATGCCAGAAATTGTAAGGTAAAGGAACCAGTCTAGCTGGCCTGCACCCGTTCATGAACATGTAATCAATAGCAAACACAATTTTGGACTGAAAGAAATGGTAAATTTGGATCAGTAGTTGAAAAAAAGTCAGGTTTTTCCAACGGTGGTCGGCCGACCACCGTTGGAAATGTATACAAAAATACCATTTTCTTGAAAATGTCTTCACACCAGGTACCATAGTTTTACAGGATGCTTGAGACTGTCATTTACCAACATACTAGTAAGGTTTTTCGTAAAAACTTGGTAGTTTTATTTTTCGATGTTTGCAAATGTTGTATTTTACCTTTAACTACATGTGTATTTGTTGTGTATTTTAATTTTGCAGGCCTACGTCATTGAGTTGGCAGTGGATGACTGCACATGGACCATACAGCGACGCTACAGTGAGTTCCACGACCTTCACGACAAGCTAGTGGCCCTGAAGAGGGTGGACCGGGCCCTCCTGCCCCCCAAGAAGTTCCTGTGGAACCAGTCCAAGAGTTTCGTGGAGAAACGAAGGCATGATCTGCAGAGTTACCTGCAGAAGCTGTTGGATCAGAGTTCCTATCTGGCCACGCCGTTGCTGCACTTTTTGGAGTTTGACATCTATGTAGGTTTTGGGAGAATTTTTTTGGTATTTTTTTTTTTTTTTTGCTTTCCCCTTGCTCTTCTGCAAATCAATGGTTTTTTTTAGCTGTTTCAGTGTACACACCGCCGAAACAGCTCTTCTTTTTGTTCCAGTTTTTTTTTTTTTCTTCTTCTTTTTCAGACTCCTCTCCATTTGTATCGTACACTTTTTCTTCTACTAGTACAGTAAACTCCGGCTAAGACGGCACTCTCGGGACCAGAGAATTTGTGACGGCTTACGCAAACGTCGGCTTCTGCTGCAAGTCGTCATTTTGCCGTCTTACACAAATGTATACACAAATTGAATCACGGAGTGAAAAAAATAGAATTAATGGCCTATGCGCATCTGTATCTGGATCATGCAAACAAGATTCATGGCTAAAATTCAAAGGCTTTGATTTACCCTGGTTTATTTCTATCCATGGTTGATTCCAGCAAATATATCCTCAATGTTTATCATCACGAACAGGCTGTGGTATTGATCACAGAAAAGTCATGCATGCACAGAACATGTACGTATGTACGACGAAGCAAGGACGGCGCGGCCGGCAAGCGTTAACAGTGGTACATGTACGATAAACAGATCGCTTGCATACTGTACGTCCATGTACATGTAGTGTACATTGTGCATGTACGTACGTGTACAGTCACGAATTAAATGTGTGCATGGTACTGGTACAATAAGGGGACCCCCAAAATGAACAGAGCGCATGCGTGCTGTCGAGAGGGGGTGCTGGTATTGCTGTGCTATCCGGAAAACCCTTTTTGATCGCGCACGTGCATCAATCACGGGCCGTGCCATAAACATACGTCAGTTAGCAGTGCGTGGGACTTTTCACTCGACACTTCTTGCAAACCGCAGAGCACGATGCCGACTTATACAGAGGAATTTGTGTGGTTTTGAGGAAATGGGACTGAAAGTAACACGCCGATATAGGCGAAATGGCGGCTTACAAAGGCCGGCTTAGAAATGAAAATGTCAATGGAAACTATGCATTAGAGACAATCGGGACTTTCGTCAGACGGCCGATTTAAGCGATTTGACGGTTTATACGATGTCGGTTTAGCCGGAGTTTACTGTACACTTTGGCACTTTCGCAAATCCGATCTACATCAGACTAGGCACACACATAGGCCACCAACACCAGATGCTACTCGAAGATTTTCGTCATCATGACGTCGTCAGGTGTCAAGTTACATCACGTTAAAGATGCATTTTTTCTCCAAAGGTTGTTTAAATGTTTTTCTCTAAGCCATACACTTTGGCACTTTAATATGTCTGATTGATTTTAGACTTGGCGGACACTTAGACCACCAGCCGAAGATGGTCTCTGATGATTGTCGTAATGATGACATCATCGTGTGTCACGTAACGTCATATTAATGGTGCATTTTTCGAACGCTATAACTTCCGAAGTACCAGTTCAATTGGGTTGAAATACGGTATGCACAGACAGGGCTGCGTTATCGATGAAATTTGAAGTGACATTGTTATGTCGTCATCACATGTCACAGAGTCATTTCAAACATCTGAAACAGCTTGTGTTTGTCCACAAACATATTTCTAGTAGTTCGATTAATAACCCTCTAAAAATATATTACTGGTTTTTTTGCACAAACAGATCCGCTTTGCCAGCAGACTGGCTCCCGGTCCGTACATTATAGATACATGTACTGATTGAAGGGCGGGAACTAGCCCGCCCCGCAAGAATGGAATTATTGTCTGGCAACTAATAATTTGAACTTGTAAAAGTCATCAATCAGTCATTAAACATGGCCAATGTTTTTCAGTCAATGTCTCCTTCAAAAGTGAACAACATGTGTATTGCCAAAACAATAGCAATTTGCGGTAGTACAGGAATCTATTTTTCTGGAAGAAACTTGAAAATAGCATAGAGAATGCAAACTTCCTCTTTCTGTGCTCCATGTATTTTGTTGAGTTTCATCACATACACGTAAAGTAGATTTGATGTTGACATTCCTTATATACAGTTATTCAATTTGAATGGGACAATGAACAAAACCTGCCCAAGTCTTGTTTCGGAAATAATTTCTTTACAAATGTTTAAATATGTGGATCTTTTTGTGTGGTGTGGGAAATGCCCTTAAACACCCCAAAATGAAAGCCTTGTTTTTCCAGAGGATTGCTTCCCCTGCTCCCTCAAAAAATATCCCCCAAGGTTTTTTTTTTAGGGGGGGGGGGGCTATAAAGTATACATACTAATTGAATATTCATAAGAAAGAACAATTGAAAGGACATATCAACTGCAAAAATTAATACAATAGTGTTTAACAACTGTGATACAATGTGTAGCAGAAAGCCAAACATAACTTAAATTTACGGAACCAGTGTACGCCAATGCTTCTCTGGCATAATTGGAACTTACTGGAAATTCCTCTGCAGCCAAATTCTTGCCAAACATGCTACAAATACATGCACGTGTACATGTCATACAGGTATCACAAGTCCTAAGTTCCCCCCAACATTATTCTTAATTAATGAAATAGAAATGCACGATTTCAACAATATCCCAAATGCAAATGACAGAGGACACTCTTCTGCCCATCTTGTGAGAAAATGATAGAAATCCAATCACGCATACCAACACGAAGCTCATTTGAATGAAAAAAGTGCCAATAAAAAAAGTTGCAGTAAATAGCATTGCTCCAATGTACTGGTTTGAGTAACCTGCAAGGCAGGGTAGACTTTCATTAATTAATAACTTTACCTTACAAAAGTTTCCTTGTTTAAAAGGATGTTTAACTAAAACAAGACATGCTACAAATACTTGGTAATCTTGGTAATCTAACAGATAATTGCAGACCTTTTAATGCAAAGATGACAAAGAAAATGCTGTGTAATCCTATTACTTTTAGATTAGATACAAAAGGGATTAACATTCTACCTTGAAAGCATGATCAAACCAGTGCATTGGAGCAATGCTATTTACTGCAACTTTTTTTATTGGCACTTTTTTCATTCTAATGAGCTTCGTGTTGGTATGCGTGATTGGATTTCTATCATTTTCTCACAAGATGGGCAGAAGAGTGTCCTCTGTCATTTGCATTTGGGATATTGTTGAAATCGTGCATTTCTATTTCATTAATTAAGAATAATGTTGGAGGGAACTTAAAACTTGTGATACCTGTATAATAAAAACTACACATCTACAATGCACATGTAGTATGCATGTGCATTGAAAATTATCATAGTGCCAATGAGGAATATCTCAAAATGCAAGCATACTTGCATTTTCCAAGTGTACATGTACATGTATACCTATAAACTTGGAACATAACATTCATTCATTGTGCAATGAAAACATTCTTTTGTCAAATTGTAAGGTGAAGAGGTCAATTAAGTCACTTTTGAATGTACATACATGTATGTACGCTACAAGTAGGTCTGGGCCATATGCCTGATGCATCGCGCCCCAATTTTGTTCCGCTTCGACAGGCTTTTTGTCCACTACTGTTGCCTCAGAAAAAAAAAGTAACGAGGAAAAGTTCATCTTTTAAGTTTGATTAGTTTTGATCAACATGCACAGGTAGAAGCACTCCTATACCATGTATACTAGGCTTCTGAATACATACTAGACTCATGGAGTACAGTACGTGTACCTTTACAGGCCTAGTGGTTTTGAGTCCAGCCTGGGGTTATGGTGTGTGTGCTCTTGGGCAAGGCAATTTGTCACTCATTGCTTCTCCACATCCAGGAGTAAATTAGGTACCTACGTACATGAGAGGGCAGAGATGGTTATTTTTAATTCAGCTTGTTTGTACAGGATCTCTTCGCATTCACTTGCTCTTTTAAATCACTTACAATGACTTCCAAACAGAAAAGCAAAAAAAATACATTATATTTAATTCTGAGATCATAGGGATTAACATGTATAATCTACAGAAAACAATGATGTCAATGAACGTTGCATGTGACCCAGGTACGTGTAAGTTGATGTTAAAAGAGTAGTGTCATGTCATGGGAACAGTCACGGTTGCCGGGCATTTGTGTTTGTAAACACACCTGACTTGTTCATTGTTTATTTTACCTTGCCTTATCATGTTTCTTTTGTCTACAAAACCTGCAAAATGTTTCTGTCCTCAACTTTACCCACATAAATTCTATTGTTGGTCGTTTCCTTTAGGACATTTATGGAGTCTCACAGGCCCTTGCCACCGAGCTGTTTGATAAAGGTGAAGCCATCCTATCCTCAGACGACGTGTGTGAGATGACGCCCATGCAGCTCTACGCTATCACAGAGAGGCTGAAACTGGCCATTCCCACCTGCTGTAAGTTGCATTCACCGTGATTCACAGTCCGAGAGTTATTAAACCTAACTCCCTAGGCCATTTGCGCCACCTAACATGATCGCGCAAGTTTACGCCATAATTTGTTGCGCAAGTCTCGGACTTACGAACGATGAAACTTTTGTGAAGTGTGACATAACTGAAATGTTGCACAGCGTGCAATGTTATATAACTTAACAATAAATGATGTTGCAAGTGGAGTTGCGGTATTGCGTAAACATTCGTGAAATCGGCTGCTGGTATCCTACTCGTATGTTTGTTACTTGCAGTTTCTTCTTTAGTAAAGCATATTTTTGTGTGTGGCATTATAGTTTACATGTAGATCAACTTTGAACTGCAAATGCTCTACATCCAAATATGACAAGTATTTGAAATCTTGACTAATTGTTTTATTTTGCTTTGTGTTTTTTTTTTTCACGTAGCGGCCGATGACTCACGCAGTGATATCGGCCATATTATGGACTTCATCTCCAGACTCAAGCTGATGCGGGTAAATAGTCACTAATAGTCATAAACAGACTCCTTGCAAGAACACCTGACAGCATTGTGCTGCTTACTAATAGTGCTGCTTAAGGTCCGGAAAGCGCCCAATTGGGCTACAAAACTCACCTACCTAAACCCTCAAACTTAAGGATATGACGTTGACACGTTTTAACGTTTAACCGTTTCAATGAAAACAATTGTAATCCGTTTTCCAAAAACGTTTAAACTAAACCTGAATTATAAAAAAGGGACCTATGGTGCGTTCACTGTTCATGCAGTCTTCTTTTGAGTTAAACCTACATACTGTAGCACAACTAACGTTTTCAAACATATTTAATTTCCAGAACCTTCGAAGCACTTCAATATTTGTTTCAACATTCAGGGCACACGTAGTTAAGGTTTTACTTTTTCAATGACTGCCATTGTTGATTTATTATGTCAATTACACCGGTCTGCAGACATAATGAGCATGCGTCAGCCTTTGTGAATGGCTAAACATTTAAACGGTTCGTAAAATAATGCAAAGGATATGGAGGGTGGCTATGTTAACTTCTTTTTTGTTTGTATATATGTCATCAACTACAGATTGTTGGCTCTCGGAATCGGCTTGGAAGCAGCTCCCGGGTTGTGGATAGGTTGCCCTTTGACCTTTCATCCTTCAAGGCCTTGGAGCACTTACAGGTGAGCTTTCTGTGGTTATGCAGGTTTTACTAAAAGAACCTATTTCTAAAGCTGTCCATGGAATGCCATTGGAAGCTATTGAGCTGAGTGAGAATTAACTGGACACACAGGCATTCAAATACAAATGAGATTTTCATCATTTGTGTCAAGACTGAAACAGTCAGATTTTGACTTTTGAATTTGAGAAACAAGTCAACTCTTTTTTTTTCTGAAATATTTATGCAAATTTTTGTCTGTTTTCTTTTACAAGTTTTCGTTCATTCATGGAGGTGGGAAAATGCCCATGTTTCATTGTATTTAATGGGTATTCATCAGTTTATAGAAAGGTAAATGATCAGTGGTGGACAGCTGAAGTTTGTGATCCTTTTATTAACCCTAACTCCCCAGCCTAATTTACTAGGAACCATACCCATTCAGGCAAATTCCAACACCCACATGGGAAATTGTACACACACACTGTTGGACTTAGTTTCTGGAGGTATGCCAACCCCAGTGTAAAAGACCATCTGTTTAGGGGAACTGTACCTATCCCAACAGATTTAAACACAAACCTGCTGTTGAACTTTGATGGGTTGTGTTCGGTTAGGGTTAAAATAGACATAACTTGGGAATAGAGTATAGAAATTATATGAAATTTTCACAGTTACTAGTCAATAACATGTTCTTCATCTCTGTATGTTATTTTTATGAAAAGGAGCGAGCCACATATCTTTTCTCTAATTAAGTCACTTTCTGTTTGACTCACCCATCGCATTTTGAGAACCATATTTTTTTTACTCCGGGATTAAGAAGTGGAAATCAAATGTTATATTTTCTTTTTCTACAGATGGACGTTTGTAATATCGGTATAATTGGAGGCCTTGTTGAATTGAAGAAAACAGTGCGGTATCTGGCTGTACATCACACTGTTCAGACAATTAAGGTATGTATCCAATTCGAAGATACATGTTGACAAATTCAAATCCTGGAAGTAACTGTTCAGATTGTTCGCAAAGGTTCGCACGATGAAACTACTGCATCAGTACGTCATTACAGCAAGCTACAAGTGTGTACAGTGAGCTTTATAGCTTTATGGTGTAACTCCAACCTTTGCGAGCATCATTAACGTGAAATATGTTTTGTTTTCCCATGTAGCCTGGTTTTCATTTTGAAAATGCCCCACAAATGACTTCAAAACCTTTCTTTTTCATTGTCTGAGAAGTTACTCAGTAATGTGTAAAGTTGGTTACGGATACCCCATCCCATAATCTGGAACCGGTTCCTGACATGAATGGTCGGGTACTCAGGTACCCGGGTCCGATGCACAGCCCTACTCATAGTGTACGTATTGTAAGATAGGCCCCATGAACGCTGCGAGTGGTGCGTCATTGTCCATTAGGCCAAAAAAAATAAGGCTCCGGTTTCTGGTATACACGTGCATCGCCATAGCCATGCACGTCGGCAAAATGAAAAAGGTTTTTTTTTTATTTAAGATGATGTCTCAAAACCGCCAATCTCACTGGTTTGACTGGAATCTTGCTGCTGTACAATTTCAACATGTTTTTAAATGGGGTTACGATCGAGTTTGAGCTTTATGTGGCCTCTCTGGGGTCCCATATATTTTGCATTAAATTTAGTCAGGCACCATTTGCAGTCATCAGCCGACATTTGAAGAAAAGAAAAGTAAAAAAAAAAAAAAAAGCCGCATTGACCCACCACTTTTGGGGCAAGCTCCATACCAGAAACCAAAGACTTTTTTTTTTTGGACTTATACAATGCCTGAAATTATACCTGTCATCTGATTGGTGGGTTTTTGATCACCCATTTTTTTTTTTTTACTTTGTGTCATTGAATTATTCATTCCAACCCATGGCCTGGTCACACCCCCTCCCCCCAAAAAAATGAAGGTCCATTGCACAGTCACACTATTACCAATCAAATGACAGGGATTTCTTCAGGTGTTGTATAACACAAATAATAATTTTTTTTCACATTCGTGCAATGGATAGAATAATTTTATGAGGTGACATATGGAATGTTCCATTCAAAGCCTCGTGGAATGGAACATTCCATCTGTCATCACATGAAATTATTCTTACCTTTGCACTCATAAACATTCATTATTTGTATATTAAACAACACCTGAATGAATTCCCGTCATCTATTTTGTGGGTTGTTTAATTTATCGTATGTCAATTAATTACGCCCTGGTATTCGTCCCAATACACGGCACGGCCACACGGCAAAAATGGAAGTTCCATTCCACGGTAAATGGAAGTTCCATTCCACGGTAAATGGAAGTTCCATTGCACGGTAAATGGAAGTTCCATTGCATGGTCACGCTTTTGGCAGCTCTGACCAATCAGATGACGAGGATTTACTCAGGTGTTGTATAAAACAAATAATGAATGTTTCACAGTCGTGCAATGAAATGAATAATTTCATGAGGTGACAGATGAAAGGTTCCATTCCACAAGGCAAAGCCGAGTGGAATGGAATTATCTTACCATTGCACTCATAAACATTCATTATTTGTATAATAGTGAGTCATTCCATTTGTGGAATCTACACAGCCCCCGTTTCATAATAGCGACACTCCAAATGTTTCTTTTTTCTCTCTTTGGCAACATTTTTCTTACACTTTTTGCAGATTGAGATGCCCTTACTGAAGACAAGTGGCATACCGGTACCACCCAACTTTTAGACAAACCCTAACCAAATCCATAAAGTGTTAGGGCGGTTTGAGTAGGTCTGGACTGATCTTTGGTTCTGTTGCTGTTTAGGAAATTCTGTTGCCAGAGGGTGAACACTGGTTGAGTGCAGAGGCTGGAGCCGTGGCAGGCCCCAGCAGTAGCCGCCCAGTGCATATCCCCACCTGGAAATGCGTCAGCAGAGCTGATTTTCGATACAACGGTCTGACTAATGTGGATGAAAGCATTGTAAGATGAGTTTGTTTTAATTGTAGAAATTACTGAAAGTCCTGTATCAAATTTTTCTCTATCTTCAGTTTGCTTCTTTATTTCTTGTTTGTAGTCACCACCATGAGTGGCCCTTGGCCTTGTGGTTCGCAATTTCCATTTAAAGATATAGTCCATCATTTGTAATTTGTGCATTTTGTGCGTTTGAAGCAACAAAAGTGCTCAAAGTCTAAAGAAGGGTACTGAACAACTAACCTGATGAAGTTTCAGCTCAGCTTCAGCTGTATATTCCGAGAAAAACAGCATTCTACGATCTCAATTTCAAATCAAAAGTTGCTGAATCATGTTTTGAATTGGGCCTGAATTCAGCGTCCGAGACACGTTCTCACCAGTTGAGCCGATTGCAGCCACGCGATGTCTCGCACTGATCCGACGAATGATAGCAACAGCGTGTGCGTCGTGCCAATGCTTGCACGCGCTTCGCCGAATAACAAAACGAACTACTAATTTAAATTTGCTATGGTGCGTCTTAAGAAGCACAATTGGAAATGCCTTCTTTCGTTGATTACTTCAAAATGACAGCTTGCCAGAAAGAATAAATTCACAGGGAGTTTAGTCCCCTTACTATCTTTCAACCAAGTATGTTTTTCAACAATAATTATGCCAGTTACTTTTCGGATAGCTGCAAATGATGGACTACAGCTTTAAAGAGAAAAAAAGGCAAGCCTGGTAAAGGTACAAAGAGAACTACCCGGTACATACACGCGCACGCACCACTGGTTACTAGCGCCTCAACACCGTAGAAGTGTGACGTTATGCGGGGTCATCTCCAATAGTGATCGTTCCACACAGTGTCTCGTCTGCCATTTTTAAGCATTTGTACAGGCAATTAAGGTGAACATTTTCTAGTTGAAATTTCTCAGTCGTTGAGAATAAATAAGATGGGCAAATGGGACAGTGCTTCGTAGCTGACAGTAGTTATCACTCAGAACGTGACGGATTCCGTTATTTTTCTTTTTTAATTGATGAAAAAGTGGAAACATCCCCCCGGGCAACTTGTGACCTCGGCAGCATATGCCATAACCACTTCTACAGCATATTGGCTAAACACGCAACTTTGCACTGCTTATGGTTCCAATTGGTCCAATGCTACTTAATGTGCAGTGGGCATGGTTTAAACTGAAATAACGTCACACTTACGAATCGGATAGGCTGGCACTTTTAAAGACCAGCAGAAAAAAAATGTCTGACTTGAAGAAGAAATCAACTAACACTGCTTGGTGTACTATACTCAAATATTTTCCCTTTTTCCCCCAATAGAAACTCTTGCCCAATCTGACCCGGCTTGACCTGAGCCACAATGACCTGACAGAGGTCAACAACCTCCAGTACCTATCAGAGATGACCCACCTAGACTTGTCCCACAACAGCCTGATGTCGCTGGAGGGACTGCACACCCGGCTTGGCAACATCACCACATTGGGGCTGGCTGCCAACAATCTCAGCAGTCTCAGGGGACTGGGTAAACTCTACTCCCTGGTCCACCTGGATGTCAGCAAGAACTCTATTGAGCATGTAAGTTGGGAATTCATTGTGTTGAGGAGACGTAAAGTCTGATAAATTTGCCTTTACACGGACGACCAGTGCTATCTGAGCTTGCTCTAGAGACAAAATGTATTACTATACCTCATAAATATTCATCAGGCAACCGCGGCATTTCATTGGTCCATTCCAGCAACTCCACCTTGTGAAAGTTTTTATTACTATACCTCATACATATTCATGATCGAGAGCCGAACGTTCACTGGTCAATTCACCATCACGTGCCAGATGTTATTCTTGCTGTTTACCAAACGCGCGCGCGAGGATTCACGCACATTGTAAATACGCATGCGTAGTAGACTGTCGCATGGGTTACCCGTGCGACAGTCTACTTCGCATGCGCTTTACAGAGCAATCGAGGAACTGTCGCACGGGTGCAGTACGCACGCGCGAACATCGCACAGGAGAGATGCATGGTTGCACGGTTCGCGTAAATGTTAATTTCCAGAGCTCAATGATGCCGTACTGGAGAAAATGTGTAGACCGTGTAAAGATGTCTCCTGTACAAAAGAAAGTTGTACACATTGCAAACAACTGTATTTACTGTAGTAACTGTATTATATTGCAAACGAACCGAACTAGTAATTGAAGTTGAATCTTTTGGTGAGCTGTACAAGTTTCCCCGAATTTTGTTTTAGGTGCATAATAATAAAACAAAATTCGGCAACTGAATATGTATGAGGTATAGTAAAACAAATATAACATGGTTTATTTCGGGTGGACAGTCAATATTAGCTCCCCTCGGTATTGGAAGTTGACAAACTAGTTCCCTCGGCTTCGCCTCGGGAACAAGTTTGTCAACTTCCAATACCTCGGGGAGCGAATATCGACTGTCCACCCTCAAACCATGTTATATTTGTATACTATCACCCAGCGTCTTCGTACGCGTACGTGACGTGCAAAAACCAGGGAGGTACTATCACACATCTGGGTCGCAGCCTTAGATTTGTTCCAGTACTGTGTTATCTCTTTACCAACGACGCATGTGCTTTACGTGCGTACCGTGGAGAACACCATTGAGGACAGTTGCATGTGCTAGTCTATTACGGCGTTCATCAAAATGGCGACCGGTGGTGTTCGCTTTGCGATTTTAACCGAGGAGGAACTGGGTGAAATTTTACACAATAATAATAAATGCAGTGTTTTGCGTGAAAGTTAAGTTATTAAATGACACAAAATTAACTTTCAATTCCGTTTGTCTCCATAAAATTAAAATAATGTTTCACTTTATCCAAATACTGCACGATCAAAAACATGGTGGAATGGACGAATGAAATACCACAGCTGCCTGATGAATATTTATGAGGTATAGTAAAACAAATACAACATGTTTTTGTGGGAAAATAGTGAAAACAAATGACCCCTCAGTGATGGATGATTGGGACTGTCTCCCTTGGCTTCGCCTCGGGAGGAGTCCAAATCATCCAACACCTTGGGGTCGTTAGTTTTCACTATTTCCCGTTATTAAACCATGTTGTAATTGTATACTATCAGTGTGACAGTTCCGGATCGCTTTTAATACAAACCGCTGTACTCTCGTTCATGTTCGGATTTTCCGTGTCTGAGTGACATCATTTCATAGTAAGATTCCTTCCCTTCAAGTTAAAACCAAATTAAGTTCAAACAGACTCAACATAAAGGGAAATAAATCATGGCTTTTGTACAGGACTGAACCCGACAGTTGCGGATCACTTTCGACAGTTCCGGATCATGTACCAGGTAGCTGTACAAATTCATCATTCAAAGTGTGCTCATATTGCGCATATTGTGTCACGCCTTCATCATAAACTGCACACAAATCTGCATCGTGTGCACGGGTGATCCGCAACTGTCTCACGCAGGGATACAAATCTTTCGGCGAATACAGCAATTCAGTTAAAATCAAATACCCCAGTCTTTATTGCTCAGTGATACTTGAGATTATGTCCTTACAAGAAAACTGGATATAATGAAGACAAAATGATAAATGTTGACTACGTTCCAACAGGAAACCAGATCTTTGCCTTTACGCACTTCCTTTCACAGGGTGACCACAGCTTCTCTCACGCAGGCCCCACTTTCCGGAACAGTCTACCCCTCTCTATCCGTCAAGCTCCCTCTTCGATCTCCTTCAGACAAGAACTTAAAACCTACCTGTTCACACTCTATATCTCCTCTTCGGCTTGCACCTTGCAATTCATATGTCTTGGACCTAGCATTTATAATTTGTAGTTTGTCATTTATAATTTTTGTCATTTATAAATTTTGTAGTTTGTACTTACTCATTGTATAGCGCCCTGAGCGTCACCGAGTGATGGACCTGTTTGCGCTTAATAAGATGCCACTATTATTATTATTATTAGGTCAACTACAAAATAAGCAGATATTTCGCCGAACTGGGTAATGTTTAAGCCATTTCCAAAGTTTCTTTTTCCCAACAATTGCAAAATAATAGACCTTCAAATTCGTGGGGAAAAAAAATCACGAAAAAAGGGTTTGGTTATGCTTGAATTAATTTTTACTTAATTAAGTGATCCAGAACTGTTGATGATTTGGAACTGTCGCACTCACTGTATAGTGGAGTCCCCTAACTTAGCGCACTTCAATGTTTCCCTCGACTTTCCTCAACTTGCAGTGTTGCCAAACCTCTTTGTTGACAAGTTTCAAATTCATTCAGTTACATACTGGTACTGTATGTTTCCTTAAAGAGGTTGTGGAATGCTCGATGACATTTCCGTCATTTTTCGGGTATATGTAGCCTAAGGTGCGATGAAATAAAAACGACTATTGTTTCTGTCATAAAACGAGTACAAAAGGTACTTTTGAGAGCTGTTTTTCAAGTCCTGTCATGCCTGTTTTGACCCGAATGTGCAATTTGTGTAAAAGTCGTCGTTGCGGGCAGCAAATTAAACACAGTAAATCGTGACGTAATAAACAGGACTCCTGATGCAGAGTAGCATAAACGAGTCCTGTTTATTACGTCACGATTTACTGTGTTTTGTTTGCTGCCCGCAACGACGACTTTTACACAAATTGCACGTTCGGGTCTAAACAGGACCTGAAAAATAGCTCTCAAAAGTACCCTTTGTACTCATTTCATGACAGAAACAATAGTCGTTTTTATTTCATCACACCTTAGGCTACATATACCCAAAAAATGACGGAAATGTCTTCGAGCATTCCACAACCTCTTTAATATGCTGGATGTTGAACCTTTGTGACCAATTTCAGTGTCATGAAATTACCCGCAGACCACAACTTTAACGCTCCAGACCACAAGGCCATGGCAATCCACATATGATCTGACTGTTGGTGACTAGCCTGTGTAAAAAGGCGTTACAGGGCAAGAGGACTGATGATTTTTTTTGATAGTCTGTGACTGTTCAGACAGCAGGAGGGTTAATAAAATAATCCAGACAATAAAATATCTCGTCCGTTGCCCAATATTAGGTGGTAGAGGTGAACCACATCAGCAACCTGCCCTGCATCGAGTCCCTGAATCTCAAGGACAACCCCGTCACCGGCGTCATGGACTACCGGACCAAGATCCTGAGTCTCTTCCAAGAGCAGTACGCCGAGCTGAGGCTGGACGGTCAGCGCTCCAGCCAGAAGGAGATGGACAAAGTGGCCATCATGAAGGCCATCCAGAAGGCCAAAGACTCCAAGGTCAAGAAGCCCACAGGGAAAAACTCCCCGAGTCGCAAGGTACCTGTCTTGTAGTTCAGATTCAAAAAAAGGAAAACCAAATGGCGCCCTCTATTTTTTAACGAAGTTTTTCTTAGTTTTTCTTCAAAAAAAAGGAAAACCATATGGCGCCCTCTAGTTTTTAACGAAGTTTTTCTAAGATGTGAAAGCCCAATTAATAAGCTTTAATGTAATAAAACAATCATTTATATTGCTCTCGTATTTGTCAAATTATGGACTTTTAAACACAAACACAATTGTATCATTTTGTCCACGGATCACAATAAAGGTAAGGCCCCCCTCCAAAAAAAAATTAGTTCTGCTTCCGATTTCATGGCATTTGAAAATAGGGTAGGTAGGTAGGGATTTGGGGGGTTTTTTTGGCCAATTTTTTGTGTGTACGATCATATGGAGGCATGTAATCAAGGGTAAATGGTAAAAATTGATGGTCTCTTGTGTTTTTTTTCTCATTTTTCCCATAAAAAAATTAGGGTAGGGGCTGTCAGAATAGGGTAGGTGTGGAAACTGGAAGCACTTGTTTTTTGGGGTTTTTTTGGCCTAGTGGTATTTCGGCAAAACGACAACAATTCACATATCAAAAGAACACATCGGAACACTCTCATAACCATGATAACTGGCACTTATCATAACCTTTATTTAAACATCTTCTGCTTCTAATGTTAAAACAACATGCTTTATAATGTCAAGAGTTTATAGTCTTGCCCTGCCTTCTACTTGGCCACCCGGAGACTTATGGGATTATTCTGATATCGTTTTTATGACGCGACATGGTATCATTTTACTGAAATATCACGTACCTTAAATGCGATCTGTGGACTCAACGTTTATAACTGTTTGTGTTCAATTCCATGACTCATGAGGTACATGAGTGATTTGAATGATTCTTGTACTAAAAGAAAGCTGATTAATTGGGCTTTCACATCCTAGATCTGGAAAGCGCTACATGAAGAACTTCTTTACAAAATAGGGGCGCCATTTGGGTTTCCTTTTTGTGACTCACCCTGGGGAGAGTGAGAATGATCTGGACCCAAGTTCACCATGTTTTGGTGGCAAATGGAGCATATTGAGGAAAAAACAGTGTTTCATATGAATGGTTATTACCTTGTCTTCCACAGGAATCTAGAATTTTTCAAATTAGTGGCTTTATTGAGGAGTTATGCCACTTTCATGTGTGCACACGGAATTGGTTTTGCCTTTTTGAAATGTGTCAACAACTTGAAGTGAGTCGGTCACCATGACTAGCTTTTTATTTGTTATTACACTGCTTCACATCAGTACGCGATTTCAATCAATTTGTGGAACCGTGGTCAGAGTGTTTTTTAGCATGTTCTTTGCTACCGGTAGCATGTGTTCTTTGCTAGCGCTTTTCTTCAAGATGGTACAATGGATAAATGCATGAAACTTTCACCAAATATGTCCAAAACACCAGCCTATAACATATCTCATTTGCACTTGTTTTCATGGACTTTAATGTAACTTGTATGGAGTGATTCTTGGGCGGGGGTTCATCACAAGTCATCCGAAATTGGAGGTCAAAGGTCATGTAGGGGTCATTTTAGGTCATTGTTTAAAAAGAACACAAAGCATATAGTCATCCATCTCGAAAAAAGGCGACACATGCATCTTCGCGGATCACTTGTTTAAGATATTTTTTCTTTTTCTGTCACTTTCTTTATGACTCGCCCTGTATAAGCACCACATTATTATTATTATTAACTGCAAATTAAAGATATAGTCCATCATTTGTAATGTGTGCATTTTGTTCGTTTGAAGCAACAAAAGTGCCCAAAATCAAAGAAGGGTACTGAACAACTAACCTGATGAAGTTTCAGCTCAGCTTCAGCTGTATATTCTGAGAAAAACAGCATTCTAGGATCTCGATATCAATGTTTCTCTGAATCATGTTTTGAATTGGGCCTGAATTCAGCGTCCGAGACACGTTCTCACTGAGCCAATTGCAGCTACGCGATGTGGCGCACTGATCCGACAAATAATAGCAACCGCGCGTGCGTGTGCGTCGTGCCATTGCTTGCGCGCGCTTCGTCGAATAATAAAACGAACTACTAATTTAAATTTCCTACGGTGCGTCTTAAGAAGCACCGTTAGAAAGGCCTTCTTTTGTTGATTACTTCAAAATGACAGCTTGCCAGAAAGAATAATTTCACAGGGAGTTTAGTCCCCTTACTATCTTTCAACCAAGTATGTTTTTCAAAAATAATTACGCCAGTTACTTTTCGGATGGCTACTATAGCTTTAAAGTTACTCTGATTTTTGCTGACTTCAACATGCAATCCTTCCCATCTTATCTGATAGCCGAAGCGCGCCATGCAAGTGAAACAAGCCACCATCGCTGACCCAGCTGATGTGAAACCTTCTCTTCTTTCTGTGGCCGCTGCATCAGCTTCCTCATCAGTGATAAGCAGCCAATCCAGCCTACCACAGCACGACGATATATCAGGTATTTACATGTAGGCTATATGTGGTTTGGGATAGACAGAGGTCAAATGTCAAAGAGTGGCAGCAACCTGTGCGCAGGGCCGCATTATCCCATAATCTTTTTTAGGGCCTACGAAAAAATTGAGGGCCTACGAAAATACCACAGTGTGCCATAAGACACACGCACCAACACACGCAAATGTTTGCTCACCATCGATCGTGGACTTCCTATTGTCCCTCTTTTGTTTGTACTCTTTTGTTTGTAACTTTTTAGGAAGACTCCCATTGATTTTGTACACGACCCCAATCCACGGTTTGAAGAGATGAACACGTACACCCATGTTTGTTTTACATACTCTATGTGGACATTCCTTTGTTTTCGTGTCGTTAAGAAAACTTGGTACAAAAAATAACTTTACTTAAACTGTGAAACCTCTTTCAACCCCAAATTTGTTTTTTTGATTTCCTTGAATGTTTCTCTTCATTCTGTGACGATAACCCTAACCCGAAAATGCCTCTAAACCTGTTTTCCAGAGAGGGCGAAACGTTATGTGGACACGGCTTAGTCCACATAATGTCAACACAACCTGCATTATGTGGACATCTTTTGTTCACATGTCCACATAAAGAAAAACTCACCCACACACGTTTGTTTATAGTTAAATCTAGGATTTTCCTTTGTTCCTCTTCCCTTTTTCTTTAATAATACAATAGTAGTAATAATAAGGGAATAAATGTGTGTTCGGGAGGTTTTATTACACTCAGTTTAAGATCGGTGGGAGTCTGGATGGGTGATAATTACCCAAGGCGAAGCCGAGGGTCACTATCACCCATCCAGACTCCCACCGGTCATTAAACTGAGTGTTAAAATACCTCCTGAACGCACATTTATTCCTTTATTATTACTACTATTGAATTTAGGTTTTTGCCCTTCACCGACGTTTAAACACTGTATACTCAGTGTGTTACCTCCCAAATGAAAGTTGGAAAACATCACTCGGGTGGGACTCGAACCCACGACCTCCTGCTTTCTAGTGCAGATGTCTTACCACTCGACCACCGAGCTAACGAGATCGGTTAGCCTTAGGCCATAGGGGACCTTTCACTCTTTGGGGAATGGCCTCTCTTGGCTTTGAGGGTTGGGGGTCCGGCCTCAAAGCGGGTCTCGAACCACTCCGGTGGTTCGAGTCCCACCCGAGTGATTTTTTTCCAACTTTCATTCAGGAGGTAACACACTGAGTATACAGTGTTTAAACGTCGATGAAGGGCAAAACCTAATTTGATTTATATCACCCCGGCGCAAAAATTCCATCTTATAATACTATTGTATTATTATTTTTCTGCTATTATTATTATTCTGCTCCTTGCAGCCTCCAGCTCCGACGATGCTGAGTACAGGGCCAGGGTGGAGGAGATCAGAAGAGAGGGAGGCGAGGCCTGGCTGACTCTCCTGAACGAGATGCGAGAATCTCCCAATGCCGGATCCCCAACCCTAAAAGCCAAGGGAGGCCATTCCCCAAAGACTGGGAGGTCCCCTAAGGCTAAGCGCAAAGAGCTCCAAGAAATCAGGAAGCCTAGATCCAGAAGCAGGTATGGATTGGGGCAATTCCACGGTTACTCACGTTACATTTTTGATGTACTTTAGAGTTTCCTTGGGCTGTAATTACCTTACTGAAAAGGTTTAATAGCTGTTATCCCCATAGTAGATAGAGTAGACCTAGACCTACCTAAGCACCAAAGATGACATCCAGAAAAATGTGTTATTTATGATAAACAAGACACACAAAATGGGTTACTCACGTTACATTTTCGTAACGTGAGTAACCTCTTTGTAAGCTAAGAGAAGGGGTTTGCCCCGGTGTTTCTGGCAGTGGCTGCAATATGCGCCACAACACCTTGTCAACCCATTTAGGTGCTACGTAATGGGTCTCATATTTTTCATAAACTTTATTTACCTTTCTTTAATAATAGACATAATTTCCAGCGCCTTGAGTACCTAATTGTTGGTAGATACGTGCGCTATATAAGACTCCGTTATTGTTATCATAAGTGACCAGTATAACTGTTTTTGATGGATTTTTCATCAGGGAGGTGGACAGTTTTATGCTGTTTTCCATTTTTACAAAAGTTGACCATTGTTCATGTACCAGTTGTCTAGTTGATGGTACTCTGTATTTGCTTCCCTTTTAATAAAACTATCCTCCCGAGTCCACCAATCAGAAGAACATAAAGATGAAATGTACTTCAATAATGTTAGGATGGATTTGGATAAAGTGAAACAAAAGCTTCTCAAAGGGGTAGTTGGATCCCACCTATTAAGCACCTAAAATGAGCATTTATCCTTTTGAGCCATAGAACTGTTTCAGTCATTTGTGGAATCACAATTTTTGTTGTAATTCCATAACTATGAGCTCCGTGTGCCAACGAAAGAGGGCGCCCTTTTACCTAGCAATGACGTCCCATGGGTGGGACATTTAGCTGGTTGACGTGCACCGTTCCTTGTACTTTGTGTGTGACGCTTGTACACCAGGATTTGTACTATGTACATGTACATGTACACGCAGTGGTGCGGCCGCGCGTCACGGCAAAATTGCAGTTAGGCAAGATGGCCTCGTTCGGTCACCCCCAACTGTACTCTGTTTGCCAGTGAGGGGGTACTTGTGAACGGAGCGGATATCCTTTGAAAAAATGCATTATGGCTTCTGGTGTAATAAACTTCCTTGTGGTACTCCATTGCCAGGTCTCCAGCCCCACCAGAAATACAGCAACCACCAGCCTCCCCGACCCTCAAGATCAGCCCGAAAGGCCTCCTACACTGCATCTTCGACGAGCTGGCTCGCCATCGGATGGAATGCCCCACGTCCATCCCTGAGCTCATCTTCAACCTCCACATCTACTTCCAGGGCCCCGTGCTCAGCACCTACGGCCCGAGGCACCGGCGGCAGAACCTACCCGAGCCGGACACCCAGGGGCCCTCGGTTGCAGACTACCTCTTGGAGCACGTGACCGCAGAGCATCGGGCGGAGTTTGTGGAGCTTCTTCAGGGGCTGACCCAGGGGAAGGTCCACCTGCCCAGCCACATCTTCCCCAAGCAGGAAGACGCAGCAGAAGTCTTGACCTGTGTGCTGAGAATTCTTGGTCTTGAGCAGCAGACTGAAGTTCCAATAAATAATGAGCCTGTGGAACCCATGGTTGATGAGATGACGAAATTAACTGTGAACTATGATGAAAGCCCAGAGATGGACCAAACTGACTTAGGAGTAGACTCTTCAATTGATATCTCAGTTGGGAATCCGAGAGCATCGCCGGCCATCGTCATCTCAGAACATCCAAGTCCTGCTGTCGTCAAGAAGCGTGTGCAGTCTGCCCCACCCCGCATCATCCCAACCTATGATGAGGCGACTCTGGAGAACCTCGCCGATTGCAATAAGCAGGTTGGACTTCAGTTGACCGAGCCCATGCAGGCCATCGCCAACATGCAACCCTCGGACCTGATCAAGTTTTTCCACGAGAGCATCGCAGAGATCGGCTCGGAGCCGGAGAGACTGACCCACATGATGTGGGCGGGGGCGATCGCATTCCAGAATCCCTCCGTGGAGATCACAGCCTGCGTGATGCTGAGCGACCGCGCTGTCTACATCCTCTCTGCTGATGCGTCATCGTCGCAGATACTAAGCCCGCCCGTGGAGGTCCGGGGCCACAGACGCATGAAGAGCGACTCGTCCGTCAAAGACAAACTCCGGGCAGACTCTAAAAGCGTAGACCTGCCCGACACAGCAGGCTTCAATGGCGGTCGCATCCTCAAGCAGCCTCACGCCAGCGGGGTACTCCTGATATCCACAGAGGACAGAGACAGGAAGAGAGTGCGATGCCAACACGTCCTGAATCTGACGGACATCGTGGAGGTGGACGTGGGGTTGTTTGACCAGAAACTGCGGCTGACGGCCGAGACAGCGGGGGACACCGTCTCCCTGTTGACAAGAAACTTTCAAATGACTCTCAGCTTCCTAGAGTGGCTCATGCAGGTTGGTAAAATTATTCCAATTCCAGAAGAATTGATTTTGGAGGTGGGATGGGATGACTGTTTGCAAAGATTTCAAATTAGGCTTGTTGTCTACTCTTGATACATCTCCATTAGTCCTTGCTTTTTCCCCACACTCCTTAGCCGTTTTACAGAAAAACATGACACACAGACATCAGACAGACAGCAAGACAGACAGACAGACCAACATCAGACAGACAGCGTAGAATCTTTTAATATAGGATAGTACAGAAAATAAACATTAACCCTTTCATGCCCACATTGTTTATTGACTTGGCTCTCCCCAGGACCAAATTGTTTGCTCAGTCATGCGGAAATCACTACAGCGTGAAAAAAAATGACCACAAGTCGAAAACTCACTTTTTTCAACCCAGATTTTCACTGCCAAGGAGTGATTAAAATCATAGGTGTTGTGTGTAAAGTTTGTTCCTTGAACCTTATTCTTTTATGCGATGTAAAAATAGAGTCCATACGTGCAAATGTAACAAAGTTATGCCTGTTTGTTCATCTGGTCCCATTTATCAAACTGCAAGCCATTTCACCGCATGACCAAATGGCACTCCATACCTCAATTTGTGTGTGGATACTTCTAAAGCACCTTTTTCATTTTTTTTTGTAATGGTAACACTATGAATAAACTGCACTATTAGACAGATCCGAAAACACTCTTTCAGATGGTATATAGTTGATGTATGGGCGGCCAAACATATCAACATGCCACCTCTCTGAAAAGTAGTAAATATATCTGTGTTTGTTGAGGGTGTTCTGTGTGTGGTTTCCTGGTCGACTAAAGTCGCCAATGGGAATCAGCAGGGGGGTAGTTCTTGTCGACAAAAGTCGCCCATGGTAAGGAAAGGGTTAAACAAATTGGGAGAAAATTGTGCAGTTTTATGATAGTTTTGCAGACATTTGACAAAACAACCCTAAACACGACTCTATACATACATGTCATCTTCATCCCCGCAGGTTCTTCCGATCACAAGCAGTCGTAGCAAATCGCCGGACCGTAGCCCCAATGCCATGGATCCTTACAAGCTGCACCGGGCCTTCACCGAGGAGTTCCTGCACCCGAGCTCGGTCAAGTTCTCCTATCCCAACGATGAGACAATTAACGACCTGACCTACCTGATTGTTGACTTCATCAATGACAAAAGCATGACCAACATGGACAACACCAGCATTCTGCTGTACATGCTGGTCCATCAGGTCAGACAGTCTTTCTTTGGCCGATATAGTTTGCTCAGGAAACCGAAGTCCGGATTGTGACTTAAAATTAACAGCAGGCCATATATTTTGAGGGTTTTTTTTGTGTAAGGTAGGATAGTTTTTGAGCAGTACCTGTATGTTGGTGCTTAAATGTCCTTCACTAATCCAGGCCCTTTTGACTAGGAACCATCCTTAATCTGGCAAAATCCTCCAATTGCCACCATGTACAAATTTTGATTCAACATTCAAAATTAACAATTAACAATCACTGTTCATGGATTGAGGCAGTGCCGATGACATTCAGAAGCAGTGCGGACGATATTGAGCATAATGCAGGGCTCAATTATGCATGGTTGAACATAAACAGTGCTGGGTACAGCATCCTCCAAAATCAACAAGCTCTTTTTTGCCATTAAGCCTCAATCCTTCGGAATCCTCCAAAACTGCCTTGAGTATTTTGGAGGATTGAGGAGGGTTAGGGTTACTACTAAACTGAAGAGGACAAAGACTGTGCATACATATCCCCCCATACCCCATAATTTGCCATTCATTCCTTTTCCTGGCTTCATCCCGGCAGGTCCACAGCTCGCCACTCCAGGGCAGCCCCGTCACCGTCCAGGAGCCCTTGGCAGAGTGCGAGCGATCCCACCGCACCCTGGTAGTCACCAACAAGCACCTGAGCCTGTGCCGTGAAGACCACGTCAGCTACCCTCTGCCAGGCTTCATGAAATCCTTGCCGGACCACCAGCAGTACGAGCTCCTGGAGGTCCAGGAAATCAAGAATCTCCGCCGGCTAGTGGTCAGCGACTTCTCCTCCCGCGACGTGACCTTGGTCTTTGAGGTCATGGACGTGGTGGTGGACATCGACATGGACTATTACGGCAGCAAGGAAAGTGGGGAGGACGTCCGGCCAGCCATGCCGGAGGTGGCCTGGACGCTGGTCTTGCCCTCGATGGACGATCGGGAGCGGTTGAGGAAGCAACTCTGCCATACGTGGTTGGATATTCACGGCCAGGAATTATCCATCCAGGTCAATACGTGAAGGTATTAGAATAAGTGTAGGAAAGGCTTTAGAAGATGTACATTATCCAAAAGAATGCTGAGAAATACTGGTCTATGATGGAAACGCCTGTACAGGGTGAGTTTACAAAAATGTCCCTTTGGATACGTTCTTGTCTCCCACATCAACGGGAAAGGTTACCAAATGTTTCTCTTCGGCCAACATTCGGTCTGGGTATTGACCACAGTCTGTAAAAGTTTCACTGATATTCAGCTGTGCATGAATAGGATACAGGCCTTTCTTTGTGACTACCCAAAAACACTACCAACACAATGTTTCCTAATATTTTTCAGGGGATATTGAACGTTATTTAATGGCCAGTACACTGCAAGACAGAACGTAAATAAATATACCAACATTTCAAAGCAGCCATGACAAGGCCACAGTTTACTGCTGTCCAAAGGGCTTTGATGGTCAGAAAGTTTTATTAAATACAATGTAAGTAGGGCACAAGACACGACAGGTCACTTTGGAGAACACCCTCCAGAGGTACAGCAGCCTAACGCTCGGACAGTGCCCAGAAACGTAAAATACAGACAAAATGAAACAAACAAGAACCTGAACAGGACATTGAAAATGTGAACCTTATCTATCAATTCAGTTTCAAGTTCAATAAATGTAATTCCATTTGATTGATGTCCTGTTCTGTTATTCCATATATTATCCTGGCGTCACCGGTTTTCGATCGGATAACGGGAAAACTTCTCGAAAACGAAAACTAAATGGAATTACAAAAAATCGACACACTAACCATTCAACTGGATACTCCCAATTTATAAACTGTTGAAATCATCGAAGTTGAAGTCCTTTTTTCCGAAATATCGTCCGCGATTTTCAGCGATAACATGTCCGCCATTCGGCCGGAGCGTCACCAGTTTTCGGTACAGCGGCTGTGCGGCTTGTTCATCAACATCGGGGATGCTATGGCGCGCGAAATCACTCAAAAATGATAAAAGTATTGTCCTGACTGTCAATTCACCCGTACAGATGATGTATAGTTTATAAAATAGAGGTTCTGCGACAGCTAGAAAAGTGGAATTTATTTCTTGTAAGGAATCTGTTCCTTTGCTTGAATGAAAGCTGAATGACAATTTTACTCTAAAATATCACTTGGTCTAGTTTTATAATACCGGCAGTAAGCAATGTCCCCTGTACTGCATAGCATAATGCAATGCATTTTTAACAATCTGTGATCCACTCTAAAAAAAAGCCATAACAGAATTTTGCAATGAAAGTTGGAATTCTTTAAAATTGAGTTTCTTTACAATATTTGGAATTTCAAAATGGAATACTATATTTGGTATCCCAAATTTCAAAATGAAATCACTCGCTGCGATTCCCCTTTTCTGTTTAATATTTGCTTGTTTATTTTTTATTCCTCTGATTGATTGTGGCAAGAATGCGTGCGAACAACACGGACAGGAGTGCAATATCTTAGGTGTACCCAGTGACAGCAATCCGGATATGTACACTGTGCCCATGAAACAAAGACAAGGGTGTCAATGTTTCTCAGTCTTGCAGGTTGGAACCTTTTGCACTTGCAACCGAGGTCCTTTGGGTCAGTTGTTTCAGATTCATCACAGTCTTCGTCATTTGTATCTGCAGGCAGTTGACTATGTGATTTTCTCTTCTGATGACCGACACCTGAAGTACTTGGCTTGGCTGAATTATTGCTGACAGATTTCTTTGGCTTCTTTGGTTTCTTTTTCTGTTGGTCCTGATGTTTCTTGATGTTATTTACAACTGCATCTTCAGTGATGGCTTTACCTCCCACTATGGCACTAAGTACGTTTCGCTTCTTTGTTTGCTTTGGGTTCTCTGTCAGCACAGCTTGTGAGCTGTCCTGAAGAAGTCAGTACATCTGTCGTGTCATCCATAGATTCGTCAGCTGCTGTGACAGACGAGGAAGGAGTAGCTGAAATGTTCTCTTGATGGTTGACTTCTGATGAAGTGAAAACTGTAGCTGGCTTAAAACTTGACGGGTTGACAGCACATCGGTCAACTGGATAGATGCCGGACTTTCGGAATGATCTTGCAAGTTGTTTGGCGTAAGCTGCACTTGCATATGCCTTGCAGGCTATCTCACACAGGGAATACTTGTCAATGCCAGATGGTTGCATGGTGCCGCATATGTGTGCCGCATACCATTGAGGATTTTCTCAAATGGTCCAAAACATCCAATGTCCATCGGCTGAAGAACATGTGAAGTGTGCGCTGGAAGTACAAATAAAATGATATTGTTCTCCCGTGCCCATTGAATGAGAGGCAGTGATACATGAGACCTATGCCCATCATAAAGCAGCAAGACAGGGTCATCTGATGTAGCAGGAAGGGGTATTTCATGAAGTGCTCCTTGAGGTATCTCTCAAAAATGAGAGAGTCAGACCAACCTGAATCACTAATTGTACCTCCTGTACCAGCTGTACAACCTGACAAGAATTCATTACGCATCCGTTTTCCCTTGAAGATGAAAAATGGAGGCAATGCCATTCCAAGAGCATTACCACACCCAAATGACAGTTGTAGTTGATGATTTGCCCATGGTAACTGCTGGAGGTACCTCATAGCGTGAGGATACAATAGATGGAGGTGTATGATTCTCAACAATGCCCTTCTCATCAACATTGTAGATGGCCTCTGGTCGATCCTTCAGGTTATATTTCTCCAAGATCTTCTCCATTTCATCAAAATATCTGTTGACCGTTTCTTGGGATGTAGCTTTAGCCCTCATGATCTCAAGCGATCTCGGTTTCTGCACCTTGAGCTCTGGCCAGCATGTCATGAAGTTGTAAAACCACCGTAGTGAGAGTGGCTTATCTACTTTCTTCCTCTTTCCAAGGTGAATAGCCAAATCAGTAGCAAGCACTGTCACTTCAGTGCGAGTGTAGCCATAGCCATAGGAAGACATCAATTCAATGTGCGTGACTAGTGTTTGTTCCTCTTCCTGACTAAGCAGGGGGTCAGGACCAGATCTAGTTGACTCCAATTTAGTTTTTCCATTAACTCTGTCATGCAGGGTGGAATATGGGATGGAGAAAATTCTGGACGCTTTCTTATATGGCATTCCCTGACCAACCACAGCTTCATATGCATGATTGAAAGATTCATGGGAATATTGACGATAACTGGCCTTCCCTTTATTTTTCACAGTCTGCAGTAAAAACAAAAACAAAATTCAATCCAATGCTAAAATTAATAAAATTAATCCTATTTATTTTATGTTCTGATGTTGCAAAATCAAAATATAAAACACATTAATAATACTGTTTTAACCTGATACAAAAGTTGAATTTTGCATAAATTCAGATAATAGTATTTTTTATTATATCTGGCATCATATGAGTGGCCAAAAAAGTGGACAGCTGAAGTTAATCAGCTTATCTTTAATAGTTTAAAGTTAAACACCGAAAAACAAAACAAAGTCACTTCGACCGAAAAACAAAACAAAGTCACTTCGATTTGTGAAAGACCATAACATTTTTGTCACATTGGCATGCCATACAAACCCAAATAGCAACAAGATCACGTGACCTGTCGTCTGACTTACGAAGAATAAAAGTTGCTCTAGCAGACGAAAGTTACGTTTGGAATATTTGGCCACGGATTATGTTTCTTTGGCTCATTTGAAAATTAGTAAAATAGTGCATTAGTAATCTATACCCAAAATTATATAATTTTTAAACATTTGGGTATAACTTACGACTGGAAACTTTATTCTCAACATCTTGAAAGTCGGAGATAGCGGTGAGTAAAGTCGTCACTTTGGGGACACTGGTCACGAAGGATCACGCACGGTCTCGTGGTAAACGGGAATCAAATGTGGGGATTGAAAATACGTGTCGATCGAAAACACGTAACGGAACGATACCTTCATTGTCTTAAGGCCCATTGTTGCCACTGTGTTCATAGCAAGAGGCCTATTCTGAACATTCTGATGGTAGTATTTTGGGGTAGTCACAAAGAAAGGCCTGTATTCTTTTCATGCATGGCTGAATATCGGTGAGACTTTTACAGACTCTGGTCAATACCCAGAAAAATTTGGTGACCTTTCCCATTTTTGTGGGCGACAAGAACGTATCCAAAGGGACTTTTATTGTTTACTCACCCTGTATAATAGACTCAGTTAATACTGGAAAGTAGAGGGAAACATGGAAGTCACAAAAACTGTGGCGTAATAGTTCCCTCAAATTATGATCCTATGAAAGGAAACAGTCGCATCTCAACTCCAACTCAATCTGAGGTTCATTAGAGAGGACACTCGGGTTTGAAATTGATGTTCATGCCATGTTTTGTTGCAAATGTTGGATGAAACAAATGAGACATGATACCGTACAATAGAATTTCTATGTGATTTTTTTTTTCCATCGGCTAGACATGGGATTTGAATCTCTTGATGAGGAATAAGAGCTAAACAGGCAGCGATGTTGAAGTTTAAAGAACTATTTACAGTAATTTTCCAGAATGGCGTGTTTATTTACGTATTTTGCTAAGCCTGAAAGAAAGTCCAGTTCATCTCATCATATATTTTTCGTTTATAGAAAATGTTAGACAGTTCACGTTTTATAATCACCAGTTTTATAATTTCATAAGAATTTGGAAGATAATTTTGTTATCTTTGTCCTTATGATATAAAGATTGAAATGTATCAAAGCATTTGATTTAGAATACTTGCATATTACATGTATAAAGGGATTCTTTTATTTGTATTTTTATATTCTTTCAGCAATGCTCAGTGCAACCTTTCAAAGTGCATGTATTCTGAATTTGGGTTTGCGAGTAAGAAAAAAATGACTTTAATAGATCCTTTGCATTGGAGCCATATTTGGGGTACTTGCTTTTGTTTCCATAAACAATTTATGTGTAGTGCTTTTATTGTTTCTGATTTGAAGTAGCAAAAAGACATAACAAATATGGCCGCTGAAGCAACAGGTCTATGTGCATGTCTCATTGTGGGAATCTTGGCACACAGTTAATACATTATCTTATGGCATCCACTTTAAATGGAGAGTTCATATTCCTTTTTAGTTTATTGTATTTTTTTCAATATTTTGTCAGGCAAAAGCCACATAAAGTGTAGCTACATGTACGTAGGGGCAGAGTGACATTTTTCTTCAAGGAAGCATCAAATGCTCATAAATTTACTAATAAACAGAATTATCTATAAAAAAATATTAGTACATGTACATTTAACTTGATCCTGATTGGTTGATCCATAGCAACAACAGTGTGATATTATACCATATTGCACCGTCCCATCGCAGCCCGCGTATTGCGCTATACCAAGATGCAAGCGACATTCCAGCTGCATGTGCTAAACCGCTAAAAGGTTCGCGTACTAAAGCGTGCTACATGTAGTTCCAACTTTACTTTGCGTCAAGTTTGCTTGAAGATAAATTTGTTATCGTGCTCGCGCTCGTGAAACATGGAAAATGTAGCGCGTCTGTGTCCCACATACCACTCGGCACTACACTATTCCGTGTTCCACTCGCGCTCGTGGGATAACTAATAGTATAACAAATTATATCTTTCTGATGTTGATGGGCGCACAACTTATCGAAGAAAAAAAAATAAATGTTTATTTTCTTCTGGTAACAAACATGTATGCCACATCGAACCCTGCTGTGGATAGCCCATTCTCTTATGATTGTGTGTTGATTGTATGACCTGCTGAGACTAAATGAGGAATGTCCCCCAAAACTTTTTGAGTTACTGGCGTCTGAAGTTGCCTATGTGTGGAATATATACATGTACACTGTGTAAAACACATTTGTAGATTGTGTGTGCATTAGTTATCCCATGAACGCAAGTGGAACATGGAATAAAGTACATGTATATAATTCACACATGGGACACACGCACTTTAGTGCTTGTGTCCCATGTGTATGTCAAAATGCCGAAGATACGGAACAGAAATGCACTACAGTTTCCGTGTTCCATGAATACGAGTGGGAAAACGAATTTATCTTCAAGCAAACTTGATAATAATAATAATGGCTTCTTGTATAGCGCTCATGTCCGTCACGAAGCGACGTTCCTGGCGCTCTATTATTACCCTGGCTTTAGCACGGCTGCCATTACGGCGCTCAAGCATTGAAGGAATTTCTTCCTACCAGGTACCCATTTACTACACCTGGGTGGAAAGAGGCAATCGTAGTGAAGTGCCTTGCTCAAGAGCACAAGCACCATGTTCTCCGTCAGGATTCGAACCCATGTACCAAGGCACACAAGTTGAACACCGTAACCATTAGACCACAGCACCCCACGTGAAAAGTGAAAATCGAACGCGCACGCTGTAAGATTTTTTTAGCAGTGATCCTACTACGCATGCATGCAGCAGGAATAGCATGCACATCTGTGATTCGCAGAGTGTGATATTGACCCTGCTACCAGTATATCACACTATTGTTGCCATGGATTGACCATTCAGTATCGAGGATTCAAGTTAACTTGAAGACTTCCGTACATTGTACGGTACATGGTTCATGCACTGCGTAATATCATGTGGTCAATGTTGAGGGTATTAGATGAACATTGGTCATTTGAAAAAAGATATATATATTGATTGAAAAATACTTCTGATATAAATGACTAGCATCAATACTTCATTTTTCTATATCTGGTTAGTTTGAAGGCTTCACGCAAGATTATAGAAAGAAAATTATACTGTTAAAGACATTTGTGGGTGTATTAATTAAAGCTATAGTCCATCATTTGCAGCTATCCGAAAAGTAGCTGACGTAATTATTGTTGAACATTCTTGGCTGAAAGATAGTAAGGGGACTAAACTCCCTGTGAAATTATTCTTTCTGGCAAGCTGTCATTTTGAAGTAATCAACGAAAGAAGGCCTTTCCAACGGTGCTTCTTAGGACGCAACGTAGGAAAATTTAAATTAGTAGTTCGTTTTGTTATTCGGCGAAGCCCGCGCAAGCATTGGCACGACGCACACGCACCCCCGGTTGCTATAATTCGTCGGATCAGTGCGCGACATCGCGTAGCTGCATTCGGCTCAGCGAGAACGCGTCTCGGACGCTGAATTCAGGCGCAATTCAAAACATGATTCAGCAACTTTTGATTTGAAATTGAGATCCCAGAATGCTGCTTTTCTCATAATATACAGCTGAAGCTGAGCTGAAACTTCATCAGGTTAGTTGTTCAGTACCCTTTTTTTAGATTTTGAGCACTTTTGTTGCTTCAAACGAACAAAATGCACAAATTACAAATGATGGACTATATCTTTAATATCAGTGACACATCGCAATTCTTTTGCACCCAATATATCCATGCTCATTTGATGAAAGACTTACAGTTTATCTTTCCAAAACAAATAAACCAACAGGGTTCTAGACTATTTTGCTGATTTGTCAACGACATGTTTGCCCAATGATAGCATTACAAGTACCGGTTTACGACGACAGACATAAATTAAGAAAATGGAGACAAATCTGAAATGCAATTAAAACTGAAATGTTTCCTTTATTTTGCAATAAGATCCTTCATAGCATTATGATCTTAAGTTTACAAATTATGAATTAATCCATTGTTATAGAAACCTATGGTGGCCATTTGTGTTTCTTATGCATATACAGTCCGACTTTCATTTAAAACATATAAATGTAAAACAAGATAAGACAATAGATTATTGTATCAATGTATGTAATGATTTTCCAGGATATTAAAGAAGAAAACTGGAAAAGGCCGACTGCATTGGAAATATCATTTTCACAATCGAACTGAATTTTGAAAATGTTCTCCCATTTTATATTTTTCCGTAACTTGTTCAAACATCGCAAAAATTAAAAAGGTAATGCATATTGAAGGCAACTTGGTGAGCCATTTTCTTCTGAAAAAAAGTCAAACTTTCTTGCTTCACATTGTCTTTGTGGACGGCATGTTGTATACTACATGTACTTCAAAATTGGAAGAGTATTAAACAAAATTTACTAAAAATGCGGACGGAATATCGTTTTAGGCACTAGATTGATTAGTCATTGTAGATTTTTACATACAAGCATTGTGTCTATGTACAAAACCCAACCTGAACATTCACAAAACATATTTACAGTGTAACACGGTACGCCAGGCTCAGATCCAGTGGATAACAGACTCGGTTTCAAAAGTTGGACAAATTATAACTAAATATACAAACTTTGGGCTTACTTGGTTAAAAAGAGGCCGTTAATACTGCACTTTGGAACAGAAATCTTACAAAGTAAAGCCTGAATATTGCAGAGGATAGAATTACGGTGGAACATCGGATATTCTGACCGTTTACCATATTTGTCTGAAGAAAAAAGAACGGATGTGTTCTGTCGGATTTGTATCAACCCAATTGGATATGAAATCATTTCTATGAATATTTTAGAAACCAGTTTGAAAAAATTGTATTAAAAAAACCCCTGGTATTAAGGTCAGTTATACACACATGAAAATTCTAAGCAAAGTTGAGTCACAAAACCTTCATGGCAAAATTTGAAATATGTTCAATCTGTGCTAAAGCTTGCCGCGATCTCACATAATATTTGCAGTTGCTTTCAATTTTGAGCAGAGTATGGTTGAGCCTTAATATATTAGCTTGGATTAAAATGAATTTCTGGTATAACAACATTATTTTCAGGTCTGATAAATTTATAATGACTTTTGAAAAAAGGCCTAGTGCCCTCTGGATCTGCTTTAACCAAAACCATTTGGCAATAACTCCCCCCCCCCCCACCCACCCTGTAAACATGTCTTTAAGGAATTCTGATTTGACGACCCTCACTTCTTTTTCTTGCCCTTCTTTCCCTTCTTGCCCTTCTTTCCTTTGCCCTTCTTGCCCTTGCCGTCATCCTCGTCCCCACCCTCGGCTGCTTTGGCCCGCTTCTTGCCCAGCGGCGTCTTACCATACCAAGTCTGTAGGGGGAAGAAAGAACAAACCAGACAGAACAATAAAATAATTAGCAGAAGAATGTGCACACAGCCGTATAGATATGCTCTCATGGTGCTATCCGGTTCGAAAGTAAAAACGTCATTCATGCGTGTGCACCACTGATTACTAGTGCTCCTTAGATAAATGCTGGAGGTGCATTTGTGCTATGCTACACCGTGTGAAGTACGCATGGTTGATTTGAGATGACGTCACACTAATGAGCCAGATACTAGAAGAGGCATCGAAACATCTTTTGGTTACGCGATGCCAACTATCAGCACCCAATTTCATCAAACTCTTCGTAACTTACGATGCATCGCAGCGATGCGACGCGTCGTATTTCTACGATGCGTCACAGCTGCCATGCGCCCAGCGATCCATTTCACGAAACACGTCGTAAGTGCGACGCGTCGTAGGTGTATTTATAGCACAACTCGGTGACTGTTTTATGTATAAAGTCAGCGGACAGTAAATAGTCGTCTTATACTCAACAAAGAATCGTCGGATCTCAGCTAGAAATTTGTTAAAACGTAAAACAAAATGGTGGCCGTGCGATGCAATTTTGAAGGAAAACAAGCTCTCAGTGGACTGTATACATTTGTAGCTACTTTGAAATTTCAACTGCAATATTCCAGTCTAATTCACAATTATTCAATGAATTTTCTATTTACAACTTTACACACATTGCTTCGGTATTATAATCTCGTTTTTGTAATGTTTAATGGTATCAAACTGGCTTAGAAAGGGACTCTTCGTATTTTGCGATGACCACTAGACACGTCGTAACTTGCGACGTGTTTTAAGCCGTTGTCAAGGAGCTTACAACACGTTCAACACATCGCAACTTTCGTGAAATGGACGATACGACGCGTCGCGAGTTGTGACGTGTTACACGTCCTAACTTGAGTTGCGACGCGTCGCAGCGCTTCGTGAAATCGGGTGCAGAACTGTTTCTTCATACAATGCATGTTTAACACTTAAAATACAGGTGGTTTGAAAGTGTTGGTGTTAAAAGCAGGAAAAACTAGAAAGCACTCGGAGAGCGCAATACTCCGCCAAGGCTGAACTATTCCCCGCCATATCGTCAGTGCACCCAAATGAAATACTCGCATAAATGGTAGAGAATCCTTAAAAAAAATCCTGGATCCAGACCCAGATCCGGATCACTTCCAAAATCTAATCGATTTGTACTTGTTCCAAGGACAACCCCTACAAATATTTTAATGCAAATCCGTCTATAAGTTTTTGAGTTATCTTGTTAACAGACAACCTAACCAACAAACAGAATCCGATGAAAGTATACGCTGAGGTGGTTGTTTTGCGTGATGGTTGCCTGTCCGCGTGACATCACAAGTGGATGGTCTACACTCGTTTACAATCAAATGGAAGGAAATCATGAGTTCTGGTTGTAGAAAAAGTTGGAGCCAATTTCTTGCAAGTTTACTGGAGTTCATCGCAAATAATCCCGTCTCAAGTCGTGTGGCAAACTTTTCATATGAACTGAGACAAAGGCATCCTTCCATGAGATGTAGCAAGTACGAGAAGAGTCCAAAGCACACACGATTATTCAACTAAATCCCGCCACAATTTATACGTCCCATTTACCCGCACCCTCTATTCTAGTTCTACTCTCCGTTTCTATGGTCCCTGTTTGTGGAACACCATTGAAAACGAAATCAGAACAATGACGTCCGTGGGCTGTTTTAATCCTCGTCCAGAAAGGCGCTCCTATCACAATATGTAACATAGCTTTCCCTACTCAGCCACTCTCCATAGCCACATCTCTTCTTTTCATACAATTCATCGTCTCTTTTATTTAACTTATCCTCATCGCAACTATTCAATTTGTCTCGGTTTTTAGTGTCCCGTCTCGTGTTTTGTTTTGTTTTGTTTTGTCTTTAGTTTTCCTTTGACTGTTTTTGTGTTTATTCCTATTGCCTGTGTAAACTGTCCTGTGTTGTCCGCTTATGTGCAAGGCTGTTCTCTACAAGCTTCGGTTTATATGAACAGCCCCATACTCTTCACCCTAATTTAATATATTTAGTCGTCGTACTACATTGTTGTATTATTATTTATTTAATCTATACAAGTACCTTCTTTTTATTTGAAAACTTAGTTTGACTTATTTGTGGAAAGTATGGAAGTAAATGTTGCCTTTGAATTGAATTGAATTGAATTGAATGAAGTACTTGCTACATCTCATGTATGATCTTCTTGGCTTGATGACAACTCTCGGCTGTGGTTTGGGAATAATTTGAGTAAGCTTAGAGATATGCTAGAAAGGATGTTCAACAGGAGACTATTCCACAGACATGCGCTGCTGTGGAATGGCAAGATCTCGGTACAAACAGAAGGTGTGGTCTGACATGTAATTCAACTATTGATTACGTGAGATTGGACTTGTGATGGAACTGACTACAACTCTGTCAAAGTGTAAGAATTTCGAAAACGACAAAATTCAAAAGAGGCATTTCATTTATTCACCTTGAAGGCCTCTTCTTCCTCTTTGTAGATGGGATCGATCCGGGCCAGCGGAGGGATGAACTCGGCAGCAACCAGCGCTCTCTTGTTGAGCTGCGCCACGCGACGGTCGGTCAAGACCTGCTGGCAGGACGTCAGGATGTGCTTCTGCGTGTAGCCGTCGGTCACTTTGGCCAGGGAGCTGACGTCCAGCGTGTTGGTCAAGATGCCACTGTTGTTCAGGATCAGATTGCGCCACAGCACTGTTGGACAATGCAGAGGGAAATTATAAGAAATTACATCTTTAGAAAAGTTATGAATTACACCCGTATGTATTTGCGAAATGCACTCTGTGCACAAAGTGCTCTCTCACGAACACTTCCAAAAAGAGAGTTAGAAGGGGCCACTGGGATGGACTTTTGAATGCATTGTTGACGGCACCTGATGCTTGCATCTACAAGTTGGTGTAGACTTGGCATAAAATTTGTCAGGAATACTTCTCACCATACATGCACAAACCAGCACGTGTAGACTTGTAAAATCTCAAGGTAAACCTCCAGGTAAACCTCCAGGTAAACCTCCAGGTAAACCTCCTGGTAAACCTCCAGGTAAACCTCGAGTTACATACGGCCTGTTTAGCTTTGCATTGTCCCCTAATACTTATCCCATCAAAATTTTGGGGGAATGTGGCCTACTGGTTAGGGTCTGTGACTCATGATCAGAGGGTCAGGGATTCAAATCCAGCCGTTTGCCATATGTTGTGTCCATGGGCAAGCCACTTTACTCCCACTTGCCACTCCCCACACCAGAGTATGAATGGGTACGGGTATTATTAGCTGGGGAGTAACCTGCGATGGACTGGAATCCCATTCAGGGGCAATTGAGATGTTCCCATTCATTTCATTCCAAGGAAACCAGAGATAAACGCCACATTCGCTCATGACAGACTTTACGTTACTACCATCCAAGTTTAACTTACAGTGTCTAGAGGCGTAGTCAGGCCTCGGGATTAGGATAATCTTCTGGAATGCCCCTGTTAATCCCTTCATCTCGCACTCGTAAGGCGCCCGGGAGGTGCCGACTAACAGGATGCGATCCTCGGGCTTCAGCAGCTTCAAGAGCTTGGGGATCTCCTTCTTGAGTCGCTTGGGGTCCGACTGCAAATTGATTGCAAAATATAAGCAACGATTACTTTTGAATCGATCCTTTAGAAGTAAACAAAGTGCAAAGTCAATTTAGTGGGGTGCTGTGGTCCAATGGTTATGGCGTTCGACTTGTGTGCCCTGGTACATATGGGTTCGTATCCTGACCGAGGAACATGGTGCTTGTGCTCTTGAGCAAGGCACTTTACCATAATTGCTTCGTCCTTCGGATGGGACGTAAAGCCGTAGGTCTCGTGTGTTGTGTAATGCAGGTGTAAGAACTCAGTAACACTTATCGCTAAGAGAAGGGGTTTACCCCGGTGTTTCTGGCAGTGGCTGCAATAGCGCCGCAGCACTTTGTATACCCTTGATAAATGTGCTACATAATGGGCCTCACATTTCACAAAAATTTTGTTTACCTGTCTTTACAAATAGACTTAATTACCAGCGCCTTGAGTACCTAATTGTTGGTAAATATGTGCGCTTTATAAGACTCAAATATTATTAGTAGTATTCATTACATCTCAGGGCCACATGTATATTCCACATTTCTCAAGTCAGTAAGCAGTTTGCAACAGCCGTCTACTTCTCTCCTTCTATTGCTTCATTGGAAAAAAAAAAGTGGGTATAGTTTTGAATTCAGTAGTGTTTAAAGCTATAGTCCATCATTTGCAGCCATTCGAAAAGTAACTGGCGTAACTATTGTTGAAAAACATACTTGGTTGAAAGATAGTAAGGGGACTAAACTCCCTGTGAAATTATTCTTTCTGGCAAGCTGTCATTTTGAAGCAATCAACGAAAGAAGGCCTTTCCAACAGTGCGTCTTAAGACACACCGTAGGAAAATTTAAATTAGTTGTTCGTTTTGTTATTCGGTGAAGCGCGTGCAAGCATTGGCACGATGCACACGCGCGCGCGGTTGCTATAATTCGTCGGATCAGTGCGCGACATTGCGTATAGCTGCAATCGGCTTAGTGAGAACGCGTCTCGGATGCTGAATTCAGGCCCAATTCAAAACATGATTCAGCAACTTTTGATTTGAAATTGAGATCCTAAAATGCCGTTTTCATCGGAATATACTGCTGAAGCTGAGCTGAAACTTCATCAGGTTAGTTGTTCAGTATCCTTCATTAGATTTTGAACACTTTTGTTGCTTCAAACGAACAAAATGCACAAATTACAAATGATGGACTATATCTTTAAGAGTTTCTCTTTTAACACTGGCCAAAAAAAGACATGTACATGTAGCAACTTTGAATCGCAGTAAATTTTGATTAGGAACAAACATTTTACTAAAGGATAAACATGTCGACTGACAACAAACATTGCTTTTGAGATGTACGCAAAAACAACCCTGACCTTATCTGTCTTGGGAACTTTCTTGAGCCAAGTCCTCTCCGCGTCGCCCATATACACCACCGATGGCTGCAAGTTGCGGCCCACCTTCAAGACCAGGTGGATCAGCATCTGCAAGCCACTCTTGCCTGGGTACTTGCCCGCAATGTTGGTGGCCGTTAAGTCAAACAGGTTTGCCCCGGTCTCCGTGCAGATGGCGTTGACCAGGCTGCGTTTACCGGTACCACGGGGACCAGCCAACAACATGGATTTGACCGGTGGGGCCTTCTCGTGGACCGACTGTGAGCCTGAGAAATTTGTTAACAAAGAATTTGGAATTTTAGAATGACACATTTATTTGTGACCCAATCACAAAATGAGCCTCAAGTCGCCAACAAAACGACAGTTCATTACAAAAAATTTGTGAATGGACTTGTGATGAACTTGTGATGGACTTGTGATGGACTTGTGATGGACTTGTAATGGACTTGTAATGGACTTGTGATGGACTTGTGATGGACTTGTGATGGACTAGTGATGGACTTGTGATGGACTTGTGATGGACTTGTGATGGACTTGTGATGGACTTGTGATAGACCTGGGATGGACCTTAGGGGAAGGACTTGTAGTGGACTAGTGGGAACTTGTGATAAACTTGACTAAACACTGAAAAATTCATACCGAGTGGAAGAACACCGTAGAGCGCCACCAGTTGTCTGACATCAGACAGTGATGGCATGGGCTCTATGTTATTCTGTCGCAGTGTCGTGCCCAGGTAGCTGTATTCACCCAGATAGTCCTTCAAACCAAACTTGGGAGTGCGTACAATGATGCCCTCTTGCACTAGCTCTTCATATAGAGACTCGATAGTCCTGTGAAGAATTACAAGAAAAACATTTGATAGGATAAATTTTCATGAGACGAACTGAGGTTGGATACATGCATGCAACGTTATAAAGACAATTATTCAAATGGAAAAACAATAAAAGAATACTAGACCCTATATTTTGATAACTATTAATAACTTCTCTTCATAAATACCTCAGACAGTTCACGTATTCCTGTTGGTCGAGAGCCACATGGATTTTATCACATGGATGGTTTTAAACCGGTGATAAAACACCGACCGGTTTTAAACACTTTTTTCTGGCAGCACTGCGTTTTGTGCCACATCGCGCAGCACACGCCACACGCACAAAGCATTAATTGTTGAGCAGTTTTCCCTACTATGAAATTCGTCGGTCGCACCACGAACCGGCGTATCTCGATTTTTTGCCAAATCGAGTTTTTGTCATTAACGTTATTATTTCATCAAAGTGGTCATTCTCAGAAAGTTTTATTCCGATCGGAGTTCTAATTAACTAAGAACGCTAATAAGACTGTGTGGTGTATCTCTAAAAAATGAAAAATGCTGCACCACGAAGTGGCGTATCCCGATACGCCGCTTCACACGCTAATTCCCATAGTGCTATGACGTCACAAAGCAGCGTCGACATGAAAAATTGGAATTTAGCGTTTTACGAACCGACGTATAATCTCCGTATCTGGCACACGGCCACTATTAAGCGCGTTGTATGACATACGATAAACATGATAAAAATCTGTTTCACGAAGTGACGAATAACTTTAGAACTGAATTTCTCAAAAACTAAGCAACTCAGATGCACATGGATTGCATACAATAAAGTTCAATCTATAATTTAATAGCAAAAACGAAACAGCTTGAATTCTTACACAGGGAGTATATGGAATGGGCCTACAAAAAAATGACCAACTTTAAATCGGTTTTTCTCGAAACACAAAAAAATGCGATACGTCGGTTCGTGGTGCAGCCGACGAATTGTAGAGTAGTATTCCTAATAATCAATGAATGAAAATACCATTGAGTATAGGCTGCAATCCGGCCCCTTGGCCATAATAGTTTAGAATATTGGCAATATCCAATGGAAAGTCAGCATGCTTTGCCAATTTGAATACTGACTGTGATTCCGAAGCAATATCAATTTAGTCGGTTAGTTGAATCAGTGTTTTGGGCAATTGACGGTTGATGTGTTGCTCGTGGGCACGTGTGGTCTAGCGGTGGAGCACATGATTCATGATCGTGAGGTTGTGGGTTCGAGCCCTGCCATGGCCATGCGTGTTGTGCCCTTGAGCAAGGCGCTTTACCTCAATTACTCCTCTCAACCCAGGTGTTAAATTGGTACTGGCATTATTCAATGCTGGGAAGGTAACAGACTCGCTGTGGAGGAGGTGTGGCGATCCCCCCAGAGCAGCATGTGAGTCTCTGGCCAAATCGCTAACAAAAGAGAGATGGGCACTCCGTTCCTGTTAACACAGGTTTGCCCCTTATTACTTGTATGGCCAATATAAACAAGAGCTCAGGGTCCTTACCTGTCTGGTGTCAGATCCTTCTCCTTCTTCCCCTTTTTGCCCTTTTTGCCACTCTTCTTGCCGCTCTTCTTCTTCTTCTTCTTCTTGCCACTTTTCTTGCCGCTCTTTTTCCCCTTCTTGCCCTTCTTTCCTTTGCCCTTGTCACGGTCGACAGCCTGTTTACCAAGGAAAAACAAGAGAGTGTAAGCTACAAGAATATTTCCTCTATTTTTCTGACTTTCCTCACAGAATGCCAATTTTATTTTCAGGTCAGCTACACTCCACCACACATTAACATGATAGACAGCACTTGGGTGATGATAACAACGCATTTAAGCTAAAATATAGCCCCTGAACATGAACCGAAAGAAAAGTTACAAATTGGGAGCATTTTAAAGTTTATTTTGTTAAAATGATATTAATGGGAATAACAGTGTGAGGACCTGATCTTCATTGCGTGATAATGACCGGGTTGGGCGAGTAAACAGCGGCCATCCCCCAACCCAGTCATTGTCACGCAATGAAGACCGGGTCCTCACACTGTTATTCCCTAATTAACAGGCTTTGCAAACTTACTTATTACCTACGGAGTGGACCTTAACAAGAACTGCCACCATCAACCAAACCTCAACAACGATTCCACTAATACAGGCATCTACATCCTTTTCTTTAATAGTGTGTATAGAAGTGATTATGGTAAAATATGTTGCCTATGGACAGTCTCCACCAAAAGTGGACTATTACTCCTAATCAATAGAGTGGAGCCAAACAAGAACTGCATTATCCTGTGTGCTCTAAGCTTCCATCAATAACACCTCTAGGGTATACAGAAGCAATCACAATAAAATGCCTTGCCCATGGACAGTCTACCCACCAGCTTGAGGTTCTTGAGCTCCTGTCTCATCAGCTCATCCACCTGGGTTCTGATCTCTACCTCAACTTCAACTCTCTTTTCCTCTTTAATCAGCTCCGAGTCGTGTTTCTGGCTGAAATTATGCTCCTCGTTCCGTTCCTTCCAGACAGCTGAAAGAAAAAAACAATTCAATAAACATTTTATTTTTATTTCATGGGTCCTTTTAAATGTCTGCACCAGGACATGTTTGAAAAGTGAGGGCATGAGGAGTTGGCACTCTAGCAATTTACATAAAGTGCTACCGTGAGATCACAGAACTGATACCTACTTTCATATGATTTGGTCGAGTCAGAAACCGTTCCAAGGAAGTTTGACGGCTGAAGCTTGAAGCCTTCCTCTTCTTCCTGCAGGATTATACAAAGTTGACTTATCTCAAAAACAGTTTCCCAATTTCTTTATTTATGTTTGGCTCGACATTTTATTCTCATGTCATTTCATGTTTTAAAGATGTAACTTTTGTGATATTGTGTTGCTCTAAGCTGAGGTTCACCCATATCCTAATGATTTCATTTCTCTTTCAAATGTATGCGATTATTTTTTTTTCAAAGACCCTACATTTTTTTACATTATGCATTCAATACAATGAACATGCTAACTACTACTGAATGATAATAAGCATTGTAAAGTGTATAACAGAAGTAGAGTTCAACGTACATCCTTAAAGGGAAGATACAACATTTGCATACATCAAAAAAACGAAATGATCAAATTATCACGAAATATCTTACTGGATTGTTAGGGAATGACAGTCCAAAGCATCCTGTAAAATCGTGGCTCCTGGTGTGCTGACATTTTCAAGAAAACTTCTATTTTTCCAACGCTGTTCGGTCGACCAGCGTTGGAGAAAACTGGGTTTTTGTTCTCTCAAAAACTGCTCCTAATTTTTCATATCTAGTTATTCCACATTTTCTAATTTGCAATTGATTACACACCTGTGAAGGGGTACAAGCCTGCTAGACTGATTCTCTGACCTTACAATTCCCCAAAGTCTATAAATTGTTCCGTTTCATCTTAAGTGTGGTCAGGGAACCAGACTACAAGAACATGGTTGGTTTTCTTGGATTTTTCAGCATCTACGAACCCAAAACGTGAAGCAAGTTAGTTCAACAATATTTGCTATAACATACTATTCCTCCGAATCCAAGTTTTTTTGAAAATTGTAGCAAAAGCAAATGTTGTACATTCCCTTTAATCTTTAGCAAAAATTGCACACAATGGCGGTCAGCATCAATTATTAACTGAAGTTAAAAAAAATTAATAGCTATCATTAAGGAAAAAAAACCGAAATGCTAGATTTGTCTAATAAATTTGCATAAAATTTGAATATATTAGAATGCTGACCTCATCATCGCCTCCTTTGCCCTTCTTTCCTTTCTTGCCCTTCTTATCCTTCTTCTTGTCCTTCTTTTTCTCCTTCTTATCTTTCTTTCCCTTCTTCCCTTTGCCCTTGTCGTCTTCTTTTTCCCGCAACTCTGCTTCAACCTTAAAAAAGTGAAGGAAAAAGAATGTAATCATTAATTCTGACTCTCTTCAACACATTCTTTGTACAAACATTTTATCAAAACAATGAAAGGTTCGCGGAAACACCATGTGCGAATAATTTCTCAACTAAGAGAATGGTTCTGAAAAGAACCAGAGGTATAAACTCGACGTTCCGGTCAGTATGCTCTGACCGTCTTCAGGAGAGTGCCTAAACTCTAAGAAAGTAAACACTTAAGTAGCAAAAGCAAAATCGATTGAAATCGAAATCGATCACACTTCATCAATTTCGCTTTTGCTACTTAAGTGTGTACTTTCTTAGAGTTTAGGCACTCTCCTGAAGACGGTCAGAGCATACTGACCGGAACGTCGAGTTTATACCTCTGGTTCTTTTCAGAACCATTCTCTTAGTTGAGAAATTATTCGCACATGGTGTTTCCGCAAACCTTTCATTATTTAGTATCTCCACCATGCAAAGCCTCAAATCTTACTTAACATTTTATCAAGGAATTTTTTTTTTTAAAAGCAGAACTACCTTTACGTGTATACATGTAACAGCTTAGGGCAGAGGTAGAGTATATCATTTGCAGCTATCCAAACAGTAACTGAAAAGTAATTGTTTTCCCTTCAACTTTCACTCAAGAGGTAACACAGTGAGTACACAGTGTTTATACGTCGTGAAGGGCAAAACCTAGTATTGATTTTGTTTTCTACGTATAAAATTTGACATTATATCTGTGATCCGATCACCACCAAATAGACAATAAAACAAGTGCGAGTGCACAATACGCTCTGGCCATGTTGCACGAAGTCTTACATGAAGTCTAGCATGAAATCGATCAAAACGATCCCTGCCAGAGCTTAAAAATGCGATGCCGAAAAAATGCATCGCCGATGGCACATATGGAGCACAGTACTTTTGGTCAATTTTTTGGGACAGACAGACAGACCGACCGACCGACCACCAAGTGACTTGTAGAATCTCCTGCCAAAGCTTAAAAATATTGATGCGGATGAGCCCTATGATCTGTTTTGCAAACAGACGTAGACTTTGAGTTTTTTTCTTGGCCTGATTGAACTGTTTATGTTGTTATTCTACTGACCTCAGCTGGATCCTTCTCTTTGAAGATGGCCGCTGATCCTCCTTCATCCTCAGCGGGATAATCCGGGAATTTACCCGTGGCATCTCTGTCAGAGGACACACAAACCAAAATAAATTATTCAATCTAAGGCAAAAAAAAAAAAATATTCGGTCTCTGGTCAGACCAAAGTTTCGGAATTGACGCGGCTTTTTTTTTTTTTTTTCTTTTTTTTTTTCTTTAAGCTTGGATTGTACAGACAAGGTGGGGTACTATTTTGCTTTTTTGGTGTCCTCATGTACATTGGTGTCCTCCATAATTTGCCTTGGTGCTCTCGATCATTTGCCTCGGTGCAATTTCCCATTCCTTAATTGGTGCTCTTTGGTAAAAAAAATTGAGGAGGTGCGGCAATAGAGGGCGCTGTTGGAGCTACCGCGAAACATTTAAAAAAAAAAAAAGATTGACGCGCATGATTAAAATCGAAGCACGCGCTGACCAGAGACAGACTTTTTTTTTTTTTTTGGCCTAATACATATTCATGAGCGTAACACAACTCTTTCATTGGTCGATGTCCCACACACATAGTGAAAGAAACAAACTTTCAGATGTGCAATGCATGTGCTGTGCAAGTGTGCATGTAATTCCAAGCCAGGCATTGGTATTGGTTCAACTGGTTTCTAGACTCCTAACTACATGTATGCAAGCCATACAGTCACAAAAAAGTGACCTAAAGTTAAATCTTTTCTTGAGGGTTGCTGATGCCCAAACTAGACAAAACAAGTCTTTTTACAATGAAACATTTCAATTAAATGAAGTTTAAAGTTCAACAAAGAAATTGATTATTGGGCTTGAACCTATGACCTCTGGATTGCTGTTCCGGTGCTCTACCAACTGAGCTATCCAGCCCTATGTTGGCAGTTCCCCATTTTGTCAATGTCTTAGTTCAAGGGGCGCTAGTCAGAAGCCATAAACCCATATGTCATGTAGCCAGGGATCACGCCCAAAGTCACGATGCTAGCAACATTAGCAATGCTAAAAACCCAGGAAATAGCAAACGGGGATCGCTCAAATGAAAACCTGTTAGGAGAAAGTAATCCAATTTGGTGAAGAGCAAGAGGAGACCAACGTTGAATATTTCCCACTTTTGCTGGCTGTTTTGATCACTTCATAATGCAGCTAAATTAAATTAAATATGTCTATGTGATCTATTAAAGAGGTTGTGGAATGCTCGAAGACATATATTTCCGTCATTTTTCGGGTATATGTAGCCTAAGGTGTGGTGAAATAAAATCGACTATTTTGTCTGTCATGAAATGAGTACAAAAGGTACTTTTGAGAGCTGTTTTTCAGGTCCTGTTTCGACCCGCACGTGCAATTTGTGTAAAAGTCGTTGTTGGGGGCAGCCAACAAAACATAGTTAATCGCGACGTAATAAACAGGACTCCCGATGCAGCGTAGTATAAACGAGTCCTGTTTATTACGTCACGATTTTTCTCATTTTACAAAGAACCCGACGACTGTTGATTTCAATTATGTGCTCGCCGACCAACAAATTACTCGATGAATTTCAGTTTTATAAACATATAAACGCACCTTACAAAAGAATGGGACTTTGTCATTTTGATATATATGGGTCTACTCTACAATAAAAAAATATAAAAAACAAAATGACTTTCAGCATTCCACAACCTCTTTAAATCGCTGTGTTATAATAATTACAGGGAACGGTACCTCTATGGACATTCCCATAGAGTTGTGCACAAAATTGTTATTGTACCTGCACTCTAGAAACCACTGTCGGATTTGGTCCTGCATGTTCTCCTTCATGTCTGGTCCCTCGACTTCTCTCAGTTTATCCTTGATGGTGACCAGTGCATGTTGGAATTCTCGCTCGTGCTCCGTCTGTGTCACCCGCCGGTTTGACTCGGTGCGTTCGGCTAAGGAAGTTGGGGCTAACTTGGGGTTGCTCGGAGGCGGCGGTGGGTTCTGAAAAAAAAGACGTCATGTTGTTAAAGCTATAGTCCATCATTTGTAATTTGTGCATTTTGTTCGTTTGAAGCAACAAAAGGGTTCAAAATCTAATGAAGGATACTGAGCAACTAACCTGATGAACTTTCAGCTAAGCTTCAGCTGTACATTCCGAGAAAAACAGCATTCTAAGATCTCAATTTCAAATCAAAAGTTACCGAATCATGTTTTGAATTGCAGCTATACGTGACGTAGCGTACTGATCCGACGAATTATAACAACCGCGCGCGCGTGTGCATCGTTCCAATACTTGTGCACGCTGCGCTGAATAACAAAACGAACTACTAATTTAAATTTTCCTACGGTGCTTCTTAAGAATCACCGTTTGAAATGCCTTCTTTCGTTGATTACTTCAAAATGACAGCTTCCCAGAAGGAATAATTTCACAGGGAGTTTAGTTCCCTTACTATCTTTCAACCAAGTTTGTTTTTCAACAATAATTACGCCAGTTACTTTTCGGATGGCTGCAAATGATGGACTATAGCTTTAAAGGGGCACTAGGTCCTGAAATCCAAGAAAATTTCATGTTTTGGATTGTTTACTTAGCCTATTTCAAACATCTGGTTGAAAGGACACCAACCTAATGTCTTACCGTTCCCGAGAAAAGATGGGAAAAAAACCTGGTTGCTTACATCGGACACGACCGAGTACGAATATGTTTTTCGTGTTGTTCTCAGTGTACGATATACACGTTGTGTGTCTCGGGAACAGCAGTGACCAATCACCAATGCAAAAAATATGGTTTCTTCAATGTCCGCAAAAGGCGAACACTTTACGAATGAAATCAAACCTAGCATCCAAACAGCTCGAATCTATGGGGTCGCAAAAGTGGACCCAGAAATTCGTTTCCGCACGCATAATACAGGAATAACAAAAAGACACAAGAGTTTTTAAAGGATAGTTGTGTGGATGTTTATATCCTACTTTTAAATGTTCTTTTCGATTAACATCATCTCGTCCAAAGCGCGTTTTGTGGCCCAGTTGGGCTGTTCCAGGACCCAGTGTCCCTTTAATTTATTGGTGGGGGGGGGGGGGGGCAAATGTCCCTGCCCACCCTCGAAAAAATGATAAATCTGTAAAATGCTGGAAATTATAGGGATTTTTTTTGGGGGGGGGGAATGTACTTTGCCCCCCTCTAGAAAAAATCCTGGCGACGCCCATGAATACTTGTCATACCGGTATATCACAAAAACATCATCAGTCCGATCACAAGTAAATCCCAACCCAATAGACTCAATAGACATGTATGTACATGAAATAGGGTTTTGCCCTTCACTTATTTTTATGAACAGACATTCCAGCCAGACGGAATTGTGGGGTAATAGCATTGTGTTCCTTTTATCCCTTTTTCTAAAGATCCTCTTCTGGGGTGATGTTTTTCTATTGTTAAAATAGTAAGGTGATGCGTTCTGAAAGGAACATCACCCCACAAGCATCATGGTCAGAGCACTGTATACTGCGTGATTGTGAAACAAAGATACAAACTACATGTACTCGGGTGGGACTCGAACCCACAACCTCCTGTTTACTAGTGTCACCAGCCTAAAAATGGTCCCCTCATAATTTTGTAGTTTCTCCCAAAACACTGTTTTCTTATTTAAATTTGTTTCATTATTATTTAAATCACTAACGGCCAATCACAATAGCCGTAGTGAACGGGACCCTTGTTAGCATCACTGCAATGCTGACTGGAGACAAGGAAAGACCATGTCATAATTTGCTTTCCTTTTTTCCGTTTTCCAGGTAAATATTTTGTACTTTTAGATTTTACATTTCATAGTTAATTTATCATGAACAGTTATGTAGAACATGTAATTTTCTCAATTATTCTGCTTGTAAGTGTTGCTCTTTTGAAGCACAGATTCATGTGAGCATGTTCCCGCTTATTTTCAGTTTCGAATTATTCTTAACCTTAATCAGTCTAGATTTACTGTAAATTATTATTGCATTATCTTCTTGATCTTGTGGAACGAGTAATTTAAGTATTTTGTTTCATTATCTTGAGTCACACTAGTGCAGATGACTTACCACTCGACCACCAAGCTTGCCGGGGTCAGCTGGTTTAAATGGGACTCAAAGGTGTGTTTTCAAGGATCGCACTAAAAATATTACATTGCATGGGCCCTTGAAATTGTAATCCGTTCAAATCACAAGTCAAATCACAAAGTGAGGAAAATCAACATACTAATTAGACAAAATTGAACGCTTGCTGAGGATTAACTCACCATTCCTATGAACATCATTTCTTCCTCTCGTTCCCGGCGCACTCGTTTGCGTACGGCAAAACCTTTCCAAATCTGCAGGCCAAAAATACAATAATGATAATAATTTGGGAGGCTAATCATCCTTACTCGCAGCTGGTATGCTGAATTGCGAAGGACGCGGCTACAACTTGGTCGGGCCGCTGGCACGTAAAGGCGCCTATGGCTGCCGGCTACATCGACCCATATATGACCACGGAGCACAGCCTGAGATCGAAAGTGTTTGATTTTTCCGGAGGGAGGAAAACCGGAGGGCCCGGAGAAAAACCCTCGTGGCACAGGAGAGAACCAACGCACAACTCTACTCACATGTGATCCGCGGCCAGGATTCGAACCGTGGTCACCTTGGTGAGAGGCGAGCGCTTTACGCACAAGCCACCCATGCCACCCAAATATGGATGAAACAGTGTGAATAATAAAATGTGTCTGCTTCAAATTTGTTGCTCTATATCTGGGCAATTCCATGGTAACTCACGTTACTCATGTTAGAGGCAGTCTTCCCTCAACTCTGCGCTTTTATTCTGTAAAGCCAAAGCCTTTAGGGCGGATTTTTCTAATAATAATAATAATAATAACATTTATAAAGCGCCTTTTCCTAGGGTTACAAAGCGCTCAGAAAATGACCCAAAAATACAACAATGACAAGGATAAAATAATGGAAAACCAAATGGAACTGAAACCACTGCCAGGCCCAGGCCACGGCGCTCAGACAAGAGAGCCCAGCAATAGAATGATGCGATGATGCACTTAGAGAGCTTGAACAGCCCCAGTTCTGCATCGTTAGGGGTTTGTGGGTCAAATTCAACGTAGATTTGGATGTCGTCAGCATACAGGTGAAATTTGACGTCGTGCTGACGAAGAACGTCGCCGATGGGGGCCAGGTACATTGTAAAGGCTTGTGGGCCTATGACAGATCCTTGAGGTACTCCGAAACGAAGAGCGGCTTCATCAGAAGTGGCACCATCAGGTAAGATAACCCGACTCCTGCGGTTATCGAAGTATGACTTGAACCAGTCGAGTGCTGTGCCAGTTATACCAAATCTGTCATGGAACCGTTGTAGTAGTGTGTCGTGGTCTAGGGTATCGAAGGCGGCTGAAAGGTCCAGCATGACCATGAAAACGGCGTTGTTTTTGTCTATTGCTCTGAGGATGTCGTTTTGTACGCAAAGCAGAGCAGTTTCGGTACTGTGGTTTAGTCTGTAGGCGGATTGTAGGGGTTCTGCAAGCTGGTGCCCATCGATGTATGCGGATAGTTGTTTACAGGCGACTTTTTCCATTAGCTTGGCTAGGTACTGGAGATTAGAAACAGGGCGGTAATTCTTGAGGTCTTCTTTATTGAGAGACGGCTTTTTTAGGATTGGAGTAATGACAGCCATCTTGAATGAGTCTGGGAAAACCCCGGATGTCAGTGAGGTATTGACGATCTCAGTCAGCTTCGGTAGAAATGTGGCCATGTGCTGTTTGATTGTCCAAGCTGGAATTATGTCAAGATGACACGATTTGGCCGTTGAACTATTGATGACTTTAAGGAGGTATTCGTCAGGGATCGGCTGGAAATGAGCGAAGTGAATGTTGGGGGGACATGCTTGTGTGTCAGCAGGTGAAGTTAAATCTACTTGTAGGTCATCCAAGTGAGCTCGGATAGTCGTAATTTTGTCGGTGAAAACTTTGCAGAAATTGTTAGCAAGAACTACCGGTGAGTCCTGAATCGACGGCATTGACCGGGGTTTGCCAGTGAGGTCATTGACAATGCGGAAGATTTCCTTGGGGGTGGACCCATCAGCGAATCTCTATAAAAATCTGATTTGGCTTTAATGAGGACTTCAGCAAGTTTGCATTTGCATTGTTCGTAGGTTGTACGGTCAGTGGCGAGTCTAGACTTTCGCCACTTGCGTTCTGCGCGACGGCGTCTGCATCGCGCGTCATCCACGTCGTTGTTGTACCACTTTGGTTTGATGCGTTTGGGCTTAGGTTTTGAAGTTGAAACAGGTGCATGGAGGTCGAGCGCATGGTTAACTGCAGAGTTAAATGCTTCAACGATCGTGTCGACATCACCCTCACAGGTGACATCACGGAGACAGTTCGACAAGTCACGAGCAAAAGCATCATGATCAATGTTGCGAAAGTTACGGAATTTCGCTGCCAGGATAATAGGCTGAGGTTTAACAAAGTGAAGTTTACAATTGATAACGGAGTGGTCCGAGACGCCATTCATATCAATTATGCAATCACTAACAGAAGATCCCTTAAAATTAAGTGACTGAACTGACAAAAAAGGCCAACAAAATAATCTTAAGGAAAACATTAAACAAAGCCAATAATCACGCAAAAACTCTTGTCCACAATAACAGTAATTATTAAATTACTAAAAACTGAACTGATTTGTTTGTTTTCTTTTTTCTCATAATCTAATTCCAAAGAGAATAACTTGGCAAATAGCAGTTTTTCAATATTTACATATTTCGGAGTGAAACTCAAAACTAGCGGAAAGTCTTTGAATACCTTCTGTATCCTGACGGCCGCTGCGTCAGCGTCCACCGTCGGGGCCCCCGATTGGCTGCCATTCTCTCCCGCTCCTCTTGCAGGCGGATCTCTCGCATAAACTTGGCCCTCAGACGACCCTGACGAGCCCTCTCATGCACCTACGGACAGGAAACGGAGAAAGCATTATGGGTACGGTACATTTACCCTTCGCACTGATTTTATTTATGTCATCTTTAGTGAGAGTAGCTCCGATCAGTGCAGGGCACTGCTTTCCATGGAGGCCCTCAATATGAGAAATATGAGACCCATTACGTAGCACCGTTAAGGGTTGACAAGGTGCTGGGGCACATATTGCAGCCACTGCCAGAAACACCGGGGCAAACCCCTTCTCTTAGCGAATAGTGTTACTGGGTTCTTTAACGTGCATTACACAACACACGGGACCTATGGCTTTACGTCCCATCCGAAGGACGAAGCAATAATGAAGTGCCTTGCTTAAGAGCACAAGCACCATGTTCCCACGGTCAGGATTTGAACCCATGCACCACGGCACACGAGTCGAACACCGTAACCATTGGACCACAGCGCCCCACATAAAAGGATCTGCTACCAAAAGTCATTCAAAAACAATTACGACCAGCTTTTATACTATACAGTGGAACACTGCTATCGAACATCGCGGGATCCACAGAAATTGCTCGTAATAGCGATTGCTCGGTATAGCGATTTTAAGCTGCCAGTGCTCCGGTACTCATTTTTCAATAAATGGCACCCTTCATAACTTCACCCTGCACGCCCTGGTAGTTTACTTCGAACACATGCCGACTATTGAATTATGTAATTACACAGTTTTGAGCTTACTACCTACATCGATGGGTGGCTTTCCCCTTCTATGCCTTGGGGAAATAAAAGCCACTTCTCGCTCTTCTGTTGAAGGTTTTCAACGACAAAAAACAATGTTCGGTTCGTTCTGTACACAAAAGTCGGGAGCCAAGGACGATGTTCGGTATAGCCGAATGTTCGGTATAGCGGTGTTCGGTATAGTGACGTTCAACTGTAGTCAGAAAGAGTTAGGGTTTTTGTTCTTTCTGTTTTTGTGTAAGGTCACAATATTGGCAACCAAAAGTAGGACATTAGAGATCTGAAGCAAAATGAAAGCTGCATGGTGTTAGTTTTCTCTTAAATTGTTGGGAGAAACATCCCTTTAAGTGAAAACCAACACTGAATAGATAATAGGCCAAATATTTTTTCCACTGCAAGGCAGAATATAGGCCTAATGGTATTTTTGGACTGTTAACGTTGGTTACATGGTGTCCATGACTTTCCACTTGTGCATTCTTCTGCAAGTATCAAACAAGGCAAAATTGTGGGCTTCTTGTAGTCTTGTCAAGGTATCCATTTCTTACTAAAATCAAACTGCGGAAAAAAACTTGTGGAGAAGTAGGTTTATCACTAATAGGTGGACACCATCACTACGTTAAGTGGACACCGTGACTAATGTCAATCTGGTGTGCTGTGATGTTTAAAAGAGTAAAAAATAGCAAAAGCATTTGGCAATACAAAACATCTAAATTAAGTGTTCTTGTCAGGTCATGTTATTGATATTATCAAGCTGCCTGCACTTTGGAGAAAATTAAATTAAGTTTAACATTATTTTAGGTGCTAGGGAGAAACCATTTTATAATCACGGGGGGGGGGGGGCAGATTCTTGCGTCCCCCCCCCCATCACCTCTTTGTTCCACAGACTCGTGTTTTATTTCTGACCATATTGTTCATTCCATGTTACTTGTAACTCGACCTACGAAAGGACTGGTGATTTTATTTGACCTATACCTCTGATGAACTCAGATTCAACACTGCTCGAGAGAAGTCAAAAGACTCTCCTGGCCGAATGCCAAATATTGACTAATTAAATAGAGTTCCTTTTTCCTTACCTGGATGAGTCTAGATGCCTCATCGGTTGTCATGGTAACCTCTTCTTTCTTCTCCTCGGGAGGCCCCATCTTGGCCAGGATTTGGCCCAGTAGTTTCTCCCGTTCCTGCAGGATCTTGGAGCGCTCGTTCAGGAAGTATTTAGGTACGGGTATCTCAATGTCATTCTGGAAAAAAAGTGTAACAAAAACCAATGAAACATTAATGGTCATTTTAAATTAGTTACGATATACTGAAATGTAGAGCAGATTATTTGCAGCTATCCAAAAAGTAATGTGACAAAATTATTCTTGAAAGTTTACTTGTTTAAAAGATGGTAATGGCACTAATCTCCCTGTGAAATTATTCTTTCTGGCATGCTGTCATTTGGAAGAAAACAACAAAGGAAGGCCATTTCCAAAGATGCGTCAAGTGACGCATTTTTGGAAATTTCCGTTAGTAGTTGGTTTGTAATGCGCCAAGTCCATGAATGGCTGCGCACAAACATTGACTAATGCATGCAGTTGCTATTATTCGTCGGTTCAGTGCATGACATAACATAGCTGCAATCGGCTGAATTAGAACATGTCCCGGATTCTGATTTAAGGTACGATTTAAAACAATTCGACTCAGCCAACAGTGCCAGCTAGTGGGCACACCATGAGTAAAAATACAACTGTAGATTTTTACACCTATGGTTTTTGCCTATGGGGAGGGCAAGTTGCTCACCAGGGGCTGCCACCTCCCCCCTCCCCCTCCCCCCCCCCCCCCCCCTTGTGACGGGCCTAAGTATCATGTAAACAATGGCTATGCTTTGCCCTCATTCAGCATGTTCAACTCACCGGTGTAAGTTTGAGATCAGACAGGATGTCGTCAAAGTAATGGAACTCGGAGAACTCCAGCAGGACCATCTCGTTCTTGAGCTCCAGCAGGCGACCCATGACCCCATCCAAGACATGCCGCAACACCCGGCGCTTCTGGGGGTGCACAATCTGATCGTAGCACTGCTCCAACCGTTGGAAAATCTGCAAGGAGGGTAATAGTACACACATATTGACTGGCAAAGAGGTCACTAGTGCAACTCTATGAACCCCGAGGTCAATTCGGGCGATTCACAATACAGTGCGCCATCAAGTGTTTGCCATGGAGAAATAATTTTTCCCAGTACATTGTGGGAGATGGTCAACAAATTCACAGTGCGGGACATTTGAAATTGTTCGTTTTTTCGGTCAGTATTTTTGTAAGTGAATGATTCAAGTATATGTTTGCCCATTTGTTTTACTTTTTATCAATATGGTGTTTTTTGTAAGGCGGCAGAACGCCATGCCCAAATCTATATCAAAAAAGCTCAAGTTGTCTACTGACGCTCATTTAAAATGGGCCATGTTTTGTCGACCGTAAACTTGAAAAATGGACTCTTCATGGCAAACTCTTGGTGGCGCACTGCATTGTGAATCGCCCGAATTAGGCCTATAGGCTGAGGGAAATAGGTTTCTCGTTTGATCTCTTGCAGGCACGAGGGAATAGGGGCACACTAGGACCATTATGATAGGGCATTCAAAACCACCCCAGGGCACTGTTAAACCAGTCATAAAGATGGAGTACACAGTTCCGGACAGATCGGGACATTGCATGAGTGCTGCAGCTGAACTGTTTGCCAAACATAACACTCCAAAATGATCCGAACCAATATAATAATAATTTGGGAGGCTAATCATCCTTACTCGCAGCTGGTATGCTGATTTGCGAAGGACGCAGCTACAATGTGGTCGGGCCGCTGGCACGTAAAGGCGCCTATGGCTGCCGGCCACATGGACCCATATATGACCATGGAGCACAGCCTGAGATCGAAAGTGTTTGATTTTTCCGGAGGGAGGAAAACCGGAGGGCCCCGAGGAAAAACCCTCGTAGCACAGGAGAGAACCAACGCACAACTCTACTCACATGTGATCCGCGGCCAGGATTCGAACCGTGGTCACTTTGGTGAGAGGCGAGCGCTTTACGCACAAGCCACCCATCTAACTGAACTGTTCAGTTCGGTTGTTGAAAAACAATAAGTGCCGCGTATTCTAGTGCAGTCAAAATAATCAACTTTCCCACCATAAAGTTATCAAATTTTACTTCTAGTTCAGAATAAACGAATAATTTAGGCTGACAGCACCGACTTAAAATGAAACGAAATTCCCATAGGCCTACACGTACATGGAGTCATTAAAAGTGCAAAGTACAACGGCATCTTGGTGGATCATGAACAATACCACATGACAATGTGCAAGTGGTGCTGCTCAAACATTACGGATCCAAATTCAATACTTGGAACAATTACATGTAACATAAAAAATACGTACACACAAAATGAGACTAGTAATGTCACCGTTATATGCTTATGAGTCACAAACCCTAACCACTAGGCCACACTCCCCCGCTGGACCAAGACCATGTTCCTATACATGTCCACCAAATTACCTGCAAGTACTTGATGTACAAGGTGGCAATGTTCTGGAAGGCCGTCAGGCGATCCTTCTCCGGTTTAGTCGGCTCAGGTGGGAGCTCTGTGCCCAGGAGCTCTGTAAGGCTCTCCTGAGCATTAGTCCACTGATGCTGGTAATATCTGGTGTGGGACAATGGAGATAGAGGGAAGACATGGAGATGTTAAAAAGCCGATCCTTTACTGTGTGCGTCTTGTATGAAAGGAAACACCTTTCATGTCAAGTTCTACCAGGAATTCATAGAGGTAGAGTAGGTCATTCCATTGAGGAATTTGCAGCTTTCCAAAAAGTAACTGACAAAATTAACTGTTGAAAAGCACACTTGGTTAAAGCTATATTCCATCATTTGCAGCCATCCGAAAAAGTAACTGGCATATTATTGTTGAAAACATACTTGGTTGAAAGATGGTAAGGGGACTAAACTCCCTGTGAAATGATTCTTTCTGGCAAGCTTTCATTTTGAAGTAATCAACGAAAGAAGGCCTTTCCAACGGTGCGTCTTAAGACGCACCGTAGGAAAATTTAAATTAGTAGTTCATTTTGTTATTCGGCGCAGCACGCGCAAAAATTGGCACGACGCACAGGCGCGTGCGGTTGCTATAATTCGTCGGATCAGTGTGCGACATCGTGTATACCGCAATTCAAAACGTGATTCAGCAACTTTTGATTTGAAATTGAGATCCTAGAATGCTGTTTTTTTCCCGGAATATACAGCTGAAGCTGAGCTGAAACTTCATCAGGTTAGTTGTTCAGTATCCTTCATTAGATTTTGAACACTTTTGTTGCTTCAAACGAACAAAATGCACAAATTACAAATGATGGACTATATCTTTAAAGAAAGTAATTGCACTCAACTCTCTGTGAAATTATTCCTTCTGGCATGCTGTCATTTTGAAGAAAAAAGAAAATAAAATAAGGCCGTTTCCAAAAATGAGTCAACATTCCTCCGTGCTCAAAAGTTAAAAGGTTTTTTTTTCCCTACAAAAGGATCTCAAAAGTTAAACCATCACTCCGGTCTAACATAAAATTGTCACCAACACCACGAACTGACACTCAGTTGCACGTAAGTGCCTGGCACGCGCGTATTTTACAGAACCGTTTTTTTTTTTTTCGTTTTCACAAGCTGACACCAGCACAGTGCGGCACAGCATTGTGCGCACTGCGAACCTGTATTGCCGCAACATGCTTGTGTCAGTTTGTGAAAACGAAAATTGTTCTATAACGCCTCAGTGTCCGATGTGCGCGCGCACTTCCAAGTGTCAGTTCATGAAACCGAAATTGTTCATTACGCAATTAGTTTTCATGAACTGACATTCTCTAGCATTTATGAAAGCACAGTAAAAAAAAATGTTTAGCGTCCAGGTTTTTGAAAACAAAGGAGGAGTACAGGGCTTTTAAAAAAAAAAAATTATTTTCAAGTAGCCAACAACTGTTGGTGTTGGTCATACTAAAATTTTGTATTAAGGCTTTTGAACATTAAAAGTAGCTTTATATAGTATAAATAGCAATAAAGAACATATTCAGCATATCAATTAAAGTTGTTTTCCTGCGCGAAACCTACGACGAGTTTGTCGGTTTAGTATTGGAAGAGACTGCATCCGAATTTTTTCTGAAGACTTTCTCTCCGAAGCACAAGGAAGGAATGTTGCAACCTGACGCTGCTTTTTTCTTAATAGGCCCTATATCATCTCAATGAAGGTCAGTCACTACAAAAATGATGAATAGACATGGGACTGAGAAACATTTCCAATTTTACTTTTTTACTTTTTAGGAAACAATTTTTGTTGGATTTCTTGACTCTCCATTGACTTTGTACACAACCGCTGAAGTAGCGTCAGGTTGCAACATTATGGAGAAACTTAAAACCTAAAATAAAAAGCACTAAGTTAAGCCTGTGTCAGTTAGGCCTGTGTAACTTGGACCAGACAGTACTGTACATGCTGTAGGCCTAGGCCTTCAGTTCACGCACACCGCCCGTCGCCCTGTCAAGTGTCATTTAATGCCAATCCCCCAATCCGTACACCACACACGATGACGATCACAAACCTCGCTCGTTTACACGTAGGCTAATTCTACCAGTTTTCAGTTCATAAAAGCATTTTTTTTATGTATCAAACTTACCCGTGAGACATTCTGATCTTGTATTTCTCTATTTAGTCGAAGAAAATATAAAATAAAAAGTGGCCATTCCCGTTTTTATGACCAGATTTAATGCCGACAAGTTCGCGATATCGATATCGTGTGTAACTTGTTTCCATAGTGAACTTATTTACCATCATTAACGTTGCCGATAGAGGGCGCTACAGCATATTTGCCGCCGTGTTGTCCACTCAGGAAAAAACTGCCTGACTGAAATCAATGTCTACTGAAAAAAAAACATTGTTCCGAACTCAGGAAATACATGTTGTATTGAATTGAATTTCGTCCAGTAATTGGTCATGATGGGTAACATAAGGAGATTGAATTACATGAGAAATTCAATCAATAAAAATAACAGGACCAAATTTTAAACACGGAAAATACATGATCCGATTCATGGAGCCTTAGAGCAAGAAACAGCCTGACGGAGCAACATTCGTTTTGGAGGAGAAAAAAATATCCGTTTAATTAAATTAAAATTTGGGCTTGTCTCACTATTTTGCAAAGGCATTTTACCCAAACACTTTTGTCAACTGTCAATAAAGGGTACGCCACACAAAAAGTGATCACCGCCACCAAGTATTTTGTCACTGCCTGACTGAAGTCATGATGGCTACTGGAAAAAATACACTCGTTGTTCCCACAATAACTCAAGAAGTAGATACCTGCTGTATTGAGCTGAAATTTCGTCCAGTAATGGTCAACTTTGGGTAGCATTTCTTGAGAAATCGTCAAATAATATAATTTTAAAAAAATCAAATGACCAAAGCAATAGGCATAAAGGTTTTTTTCTAAACGCGAAAAATTCAATCCGAACGAAATTAAGTCAACTTTAAATAGTGATTGCTCTGAACACTTCAGTTAAATATATATTAAGCGCCCACGTACAATGTAAAACAAGACTACGTCTTCATTTCCAGATTCTGACCATTCAGCGGGCGTAAACATGGCCACCAATTGACCAATCAACAGCTCAGGCCGAATTTCTGCTTGAAATGACGTCCTAATTTCCAAAGTTGATTCCGATTGGCTGGTGGGGATGCATAAAATTTGCATATAATAATAATATCAGACGTTGTTGTGGAGCTTTCGGGCTCCGTTGAACAATGGATGATACTCAGACTGGGGGGTGTATCAGGCAGGCGTGGAGATCAGCATAGAAAGGAAAGTATTGCTCACCAAATGCCACAGATTTTTTGTTATATCGAATGGATGGAGGGGACGAACGAAGAAACTTATAAGCAACCAACAAGGTTGCTTGAAAGTCCCTTCAGGGTTCAATTCGAACATAAGTATAGTGTTGCCATTGAAATCCCGAGTCCAATTCGTTTCCTATCTTTAATATCATCTTTCTCCTGTTGGTTCTGGTTGAAAAGACCGTTGTACCAATGGGCCTACGTCATGACAGAATTCAGATAACATTTGAGAATAAACATAATAAACCCGTCCAGAACGCAAAATTCTCATTGAAATAATGAGGCTCTCAATTCAAGTCGTCATTTCAACCCTGATCATGGTGCCAGGATGCCACAAGTCTGTGTCGGCATTATGACATGTATTATGGGAGAAAGTATAACAATGTTGTTGTGTGAGAGAAGACGTTAGAGAATTGACTTGTAGTACTATGGTAGATTTTCCTCCTACCCCACCCCTCTCCCCACCCCACCCCTGTTAAACTCTGATCACAAATCTCGCCCTCCGTCAGCTATCATTTTGGTGTTCACCGTTTAGCATATCCATACGCGCGCGCGCTTTTCAAAATGGAAAACGCGTCACGCGCCTGTTATTGCGGTAGTTTCAGTTGTGCCTATGCGATGCATTTTGTATTCAAGTAGTGATTCTTTTATGACATTTATTATAAAAGAAACATACTCATATTTCAGTTAGGACTATACCTGACGACCGAGTTTGGGTATTTGACAGTTGTATGTGAACTGCATGTCGGATTACGAGTGATTTAGCGGTGAAATCGTACATCATCCAAGTTAAGTTGTTTAGGTCAGCACCGCGGTTGAACTTGTATGCAATGACATGGCATCCACGGACAGTCCCAGGATTATACTGGTGCAAGAAGTTTCAAGTCAAGGTAGGTCACTCTTTCTGTTGACTGTTGCAACTAATACGTAAATGTATCTGGGCACGAACATTATAATTATAACACTATTAAACAGTGTTGGCCGGCTGTTTACTGAGGCAACTTGTAATAAACATCCCAAAAAAATTCTTTTTCAAAGGGTAGGCCCCCTGAGATTTAATAAATCTCTGGTCTTCTGGCAATCAAGTAGGCCTACTGAAAAAAAATGCTTTGAAAATCACTTGAATTTTATTCAGAACAGTGCATGGGAAAATACTGCACACTTTCACGGATAGTCCGAAAGTGTCTAATGTAAAATAAACTGGGGGATTCATAGCTGATTAGAACGTTCGTGAACCCAGTGGAATTTTAGATCTTGAAGTAGGCTAGTGACATGCATAAATCTGATAGGCTGTGGTTCATAATGCTCGTCTGTTACTGCGGGCTATATACTCAATGTTCATGTGTACAATCAAGTAGGAGATGACGACAGTTTCCATGTCATTCCTTTACAGCTAGCATTGACAATGCCGACGACGGCAGGGACGGTGACAGTGCCGGCGATGGCAAGGATGATGGCACAAGTTCCAGCGAGGGGACTGAAGTGGACTCAGCTTCTGTGCCAAAAGCCGCTCATCAGAAGAAGAGTGTCCGCTTCCTGATCGTGGAAGAAAATCACAGGATGCACGGGGGCAGCATCCACGAGGAGCTCTGTCAGATGGATAAACTCAAGTCCCGGAGCGTGGGGCGAATTCAGCCCAGGAACGTCTCCCTGGCTGACAGACCGCCTCCCGTGTTCAGCATCACCAGCATCACGGACACCGAGCCCCAACCACTCTTCTCAGCCGCCGTCAAAGCCGCGGTCGACTCGCAGAGAGAGATCGACGAGAGGATAGACCGCTTCGTAGAAGCGCCCGAGTCCCCTGCAGAAGACGCTGAAGTCCATCCCAAAATCCATCCCAAGGGCTCCAAGGAGAGGTTGCAGGAGAGAAGGATGACTGTGTTCCAGCATCAGCTCCTAGAGTTTCGCCACAGCGAGACGGCGAAGACAGAACTGAAGCTCCGCCTGCAAAGACTGTCTACGTTCCTCTGCGCAGCCGCCATCCTGGCCGTGGCACTGGCCATCATAGATCTGGAGTACAGCTACTCTCATGGGACCAACGCAATAATTTCAAATTCCTCGACTTTTTACCCAGTTTCAACCGGCGCCCAAGCCTTTGGGATCTGCCTCAAGGTCGGGATAACTCTGGTTTCCGTTCTGACCTGTGTTCTCTTGTACCTGTACTTCCATCAGCACTGCCGATTCCTTATCGTCAAGCACCACCTCCCACTGGGTGCTACCGTCTTCACATCCCCGGATCGTTGGAGTTTCGTGGCAGAGGTCGTCCTGTGCATCTTCCACGTTCCGCCCCTGACCGAGGTCTTCATTCCAAACGAGTTGCAGCTCGTCTCCTTCCTGAGGCTGTACCTCGTCGGCCGGTACATGAGAGAGCACAACCACATGGCCTTCAGCAAGTCCACGCGGTTCCTTGCCTCGGTGTTGCAGACCGAGCTAGGAGCCGGCTTTCTGGTCAAGACCTTCTTCATCAAGTGGCCCTTCCGTATGGTCGGAATATGCTACTGTCTCAACCTGTTTGGGGTCGGGTACCTAGTGTTCTCAATCGACAGGCTCTTCAGCCCTTTGCAGTGCAATCCTCTGCTTGTAAGTAAATTTTAACCAATGTACGACCACTTTAAAACCAGTGACATTATCGGCCATGTTTTTGAGTAATATTAAGACGTTTTATGACGTATTTTGGCGTACAACAGACGTGAATACAAAGTTGTTGACGAACGGTTGCATGTTAGTATAATTCAAAATTACATTTTACAATCATTAATGTTTGGACTGACGTTATATCCCCAGTGGTACTCACAAAATGGCGTCGTTATATACAGCGCCCTCATTCTTATATGACCAAATTTCAAATATATTTGACAAAACTCCTCACGAAACTAATCCTTTACAGCAAAAATAAAGGCCCATGTAGAGAGGTGATCGGTTTGAAAATGTGTTTTTGACTAGAACATTTAAATGTCCAGGAGTTATACCGATGCCGACAATGCGCTTTTGATCATTTTTATGTAAGAAGCTATATTTATTTCCCATCCTCAAAAGTAAATTTATCATTTCGTTCCTCAAAAAAGTCCTTGTAATTCATTTCACCCACCGATTATGTCATGCCTGATGTCGTCAAGAAAATGTGTTGGAAATCCGCGTTGACGCCCATTTCCTTTCTCTTGTGAAAGGATGTGATATGGATGCAAGTGGTTACCATGACGACTCTGGGCTTCGGTGACGTGGTCCCGGATTCTGTCATGGCCAGGGCCTTCGTTGGCATGTCGTCGGTGTTCGGCATTTTCCTCATGGCTCTACTGATCAGCGTGATTCACGAAACGCTGCAGATGTCCCAACAGGAGAAACGGATCTTGGCTTACGTTGAAAGGCAAGGTGGGTTTCAAAGACGCAAGAAACAGGCAACGACTACTGAGTTCACATGTTAATGATCTGATGGTATTTCTTCGCAAAAGTGAATTACTGTAGGTACCAGGGTCCAATTTGTTAAAGCTGTTTTCATAGTATAGAGTGACGACGAGAAGAGCACACACAAAGACAAAAATAAACGCTTTTGCGAACGGAAATGAAGAAATCGTGAATATAATCATGGAAGTTGCCATGTTGCAACACTTTCCCCTAATAATGTTTGATAACCGTTGTTTCAGTAGCATGAAGCGACTGAGAATAGTTCTATCCCCCTGGATGGAATGTTAGTCCATTGCAGGTTACTCCCCAGCCAATGCTGGTTCCCATTTTTACTCCTGGGTGGAGAGAGGCAAGTGAGGGTGAAACAGCTTACCCAAGGACACAACATGGCCAGCAGCTGGATTCGAACCCCTGGCCCGCTGATCATGAGTCCGAACCCTAGCCACTTGGCCACACTCCCCTATGCCCGAGAAAATGGCTTCAATAAGGCAAAACATTCAAATCCAACCGATGCGTTTTGTTTCTCCTCTCTGATGTTTTGGCAGACTTTGCTGATCGGATGAAGCAGCGAGCGGCGCGCTGCATCCAGGCCACCTGGCGTCTGTACTTGTTCAAGCGGACCGGTCACGACAGCTCGCCTCGCCGGCGTCTATGGGGCGTCCTCCCCCATCCAATGACGATGTTGAGGCGTGGACGGACCAAAGAACGGTTGATCAAAGAACTCTACGACGTGCTGATCCAGTGGAGGGAAATCAGAAAGAGCAAAACACAAGGTCAATTTTAAACCATACGTTTTTCGTATAGAATTTTACAATGATGATCTAGATGGTGCAGACAGCCAGAAAGTAAGTGTGCGGAGTTTGTGTGGACCTGAATAGAGCCGGCAGAACACTCAACTTTTAACCGAGAACTTACTCTCATAACACAGAACTAAAACGAGGAGAAAAGAATCAAGAAAATTATCCAGACCCTGCTTCCTTGCCATGTGCTCCCATTTCTATATTTCGACACACTGTCTATAGTGAATGACTTCGGGAAAATTAATTCACGGATGCGCCACCATTATGGAGTGACTGACACTAGAAGAGCCAGATCATAGCGATAGATCATTTTCCCGATGACGATCGGAACGCAGCAACCATACCGTAAAATTATCTCAACAGAAGCACCTCTGTTGAAGAGATAGTTATTTCACATAATGCATCCGCAAACTTTCTGAGCTGCATACATATTCAGTGAGGGTTTCCCAGTTGGCAAACTATCCCACATTGATCATCTGTAAACTGTGCTAATCGGTTGCTCTTCATTTCTACATACAGGTCGTTTCAGTAACTGAACTGACTTATGCAGTTCATTGATTCATCATTTATGTTGTCAGTCTGTCCGTCCGTCAATGGTCTGTGTATTCTGTCATCGCTCCTCTGACATTGCTAATTTTCCTGCCTGAACTCCAATCACAGATGACGGATGGTCGAAGGATTTCGTAGCTGACAACACCGCCATCATGCTGACGGACGTCGCACGACGATTGGAACATATGGATGGACTCTTGAAGAGAAGCCTAGGGATCGAGGACGATGAAGAGCTGGAACAAGGAGAAGATAAAGTAATAACGAAAACTTTGGAAATTGGTCTTGGTATTTTATGAACGTTGGTCGTGCTGTCCTTTCAACAACAAAAACAAACCAGCATCTCAAATGACAAAATTTTTTAATCTTGTCAACTCGGAAAAGTCGGTGATCGAATATTCAGCCGCTTCAAGCTACGTACAGTGTTGTAGTCGGGCCATCACAAACTCTCAGTTCTCAAGTCAAATCACAAGCTAAGTTGAAATGAACATTTTCCATTTTCCTCCTTTGTAATATTTTTTTCATCCCTCGTTGATTTCGAATGGACTTTGGTGAAACCAATTGTTATTTACGTTTGGCCGGACTTAACCCCCTTTTAAGTTTTAATAAGACTTTTCGTTCTGCATTTTTATCAGAAACTTACTGAGCAGTCAATCGGCGAAGCGCCACCACTCGACCCGTCGACTTCACCAGGTCGTCATGGCGACGGACAGGGGATCGATGACGTTGGCATTGCCATGGAAACGTTGCTGCGCCGTTTGAAGGACCTCGGCGGGAGTTTCGAGGAGTCGCACTACAGGACCATGACCGAGTTGCAGGCGCTGCAAAACCTGGTCATGGCGAGGAAAGAGGGCGTTGGCGCTGCCGATAAGCGATAACACTTCATCTCTCACGAGGGCGCCCTTTGTGACAAGTAACTATGGAGACACCACTTCCAAACGGGTGCACCCCAGTATATAAAAAGTTCCATGGACACCAATGATAAATCCCCATTCTTCAGAACTCTTTTAAAAATACTCAAGGTGTTCAGGCTGAAAAATGTTGAACGATGTCATCTTTCATTTTCTTTTCAATTTTTGGTGGATTGAGCATTGACTTTTCGAGAAATTCCCGCCCAAAGAAGACCACCCCTGAAACAAATATGTTTCCCAAACTAGAAAAGTAGCCATTTTTAAAAGAGGATCTATCCACAACATGGCTAATGAGCGCCACTTTCGCCAGAGGTGCAGAGATGTCTTCAATTCCCCCATTCCATGGCTCTCAGCACTCTCTATTAGGCCTATAGAACAATTTGAGTGTATAACTTTTATTCATGAGCTAGGTGGACGGATTTTTGGCCTATTGACTGGGATGTACCCAAAAGGGTTTGTACGATGAGTATTACCAAAAATTTTCCATTTTCGGAGTCCATATTCTTTTCCCTACCATATGCTTTTTCTTGAATTTCATGCTATTATCTTTTCCGTTTGCTCGGAAATAGCCGAATCCAAATAATGGTCTCTTTTTTTGTAGACTTATGATAAGAAGTTAGGAACTTGAATTAAAACTTTATGTAATACTACCTATTCTTGTATTGGTAGCTATCTTAGATTTGTGCCCGAATCGTTTTCTTAACTAAAAAATTAAAAATTAAAAATTAAAATTAACTATCGAATTAAAACTTTATGTAATACTACCTATTCCTGTATTGGTAGCTATCTTAGATTTGTGCCCGAATCGTTTTCTTAACTGTTTCAATACAAGTCGTGTTATTTAAAATTCAAATTATCTTAATTATTGTACACCACATTGGCGTAGGCCTACCCTGGGCCTACTATAGTTTTACCAAAGTCCAATAATCTTTCGCTGTATAAGTTTACACATGCGCCAGATACATTTAATGATAACATGCTAAACTCATGTGCGTTATTTACCTTTGGTAAGAGGCTCCCTAACATCCTTCATATCAACTTTAATGTAACAATGTTATAATCACATTTGTCAACGTAAGAAATTTCGGTTATATGGTATTCGATTCCGAATATCGAGCTGAATAAAGACTGAACATTCTATACTATTGACAAAAAATATACTTTTTTGAGATTATGAAATATCGGCCTACGCAGATGCCGGTGTCACATGAAAATCCGACTCCTATGAAAATCGGACCCCTTTTCCCTATTATTGGTTAATCCCTCTCACGTGACCGGTCACTTTCCTAATTACCATACTTACGCATGCGCGGTATTACCAATGAGTCCAAATTTCATAGAAACGTAAATTCACGCTACACCGGCAAAGTGGCAATTATTTATGGCGTGTCAAACGTAGCAATATTCAATATTTTGCAATATATATGTTGGATGTTCAATATGTGTTTGTTATCTTTTACATTTATGTGCGATGTTCAATATAAGTGTGCGATGTTTTTCATTATTTGCGCGATGTTTAATATATTTGTGCGATGTTTTGCAATATATGTGCGATGTTCAATATATGTGTGCGATGTTTTACATTTATATGCGATTTTCAATTTATATGTGCGATGTTTTTGACGATATATATGTGCGAAGTTTTCAATATTATGTGCTGTGCCTGTACTACCCATAGTGTGATGTGCATCATCTATGCATTGAGGAGTGCATGACACATGGTCTGAGCTCCAAGGCCGATGTGCACCTGTCCCGTTTAATGATCAAGTTACCTGATAATTTGTTAGCATAAGCTGATGTAAAATTGGGCAAAATTAGATGTTTATGAAAAAAAATCAAATTGTAAGGGGTGAACATTGCATATTTTAGCGAAATTGGGCAAAATCAGATGTTTCCGAAAAATTTCAGATGTAAGGGATTAAGGCCAAACAAAAAAGTCTCCGGTTTCTGGTATGCGCGCGCGTCGCCGTAGCCATGCGCGTCGGCAAAATGAAAAAATTTCAATGAACGATGATGTCTCAAAACCGCCAAACTCACTGGTTTGACTGGAATCCTGCTGCTGCAAAATTTTAACGTGTTTTTAGATGGGGTTATGATCGAGAATAAGCTTTATGTGGCCTCTCTGGTCTCCCATAATATTTGCACCAAGTTTAGTCGGACACCATTTGCAGTCATCAGCCGACATTTGAAGCAAAAAAAAACAGGTAAAAAAATTTAAAAAGCCGCGTCGCCGCATCGAGGGGACGATCCTTATTTCAACTCCCGGAGATTCGCTGACAGTCTCTATTTTTCTTTTTAAGAAAGTCGAAATAGCTGAAGAGGGACTCGGAGGTGAGAATCTATAATGTGCCCAGATACAAAGAGTAGAAATCTACGCGTCTGCCTTTTGAAAATACACAATTGCGGTGTTCATTGTTGCGTAATGATCCGCCTAGCACGCGACTGTTTTGCACATTAGGCTGTGTTATGCAGCTTCCTAACAAACCAAACACACTGGGCTCATTATATCGACTTGTTTTTACCCATTAAGGTAAAGCAAATGGACCCAGTAATCTTCCTGGCGCGTTTGCTCACCTATAAAGACAACTTTTCTCAGTTTAAGGAAAATTCTAAGGTAACGAAATGGCCGAGTGGTTACGATTCGTCGTCCACGGTTAGCGGGGTACCGGGTTCGAATCCCGCTGGGGTCTTTTTGGTTTTTAACGTATGAGTTCAATTATTCACTATAAGAGATTTAATTTCCCGTCGTAAAGTACCAACAGTACCTTAGCTTAATCGGTAAGCACTGCTGCTGGTACTGTCCGCGAGTTCCAGGTTGGCGCCTTCGTACAGGTTCAGGGCATGTGGTCCACTCGGAGGATCAGGGCTTAGGGGCCGCCCTGTTCCTCCCTTAGCTCTTTGCTTTTATATGGTGCCTGGCCCTCCGGGGTTATATGGATGGATAGGGAAGGAAGTGTGTATTGGTCGGGGACGCCGAGACCCCGGAAGAGAACTAAGGGATCGGCTGGGGCATTGTTATGGCTCAGACCGATCCCTGAAAGCTTGACTAGCACATAACTTTTTGATTTTTTTTTACCCTCTATCTTTTATACTTTGGTTTAGTTTGATATTTACAGCTGCTCGGCAGGTCTACGGGTAGTATCAAAATTGAAACAAAGGTGTATGTCATAAATCAATGAATTTTTCATAATTGACTATAATCAAAACGGAGTTTCGTTTGATCAATTTGACTATCATTATATAATGACGCGATTGCCAATTGACGTAAGAAACGCCATAAATTATACCGGGAAAGAATAAAGATGTACATTGTAATATAAATATTATTTATACATCTTTCAAATAACGTGTCTTTAATTGTGAGCATTCCAAACAATACAGTAATTCGCAATAGTATTAGAATGGTATATGATAGCACGATCAATGCGTCTCTATTAAATTTAAAAAAATATAATTTAGGCCCCTATGTGTGAAATATTCTTTGATTAACTATGAGCATTCCATACGAATGAGTTTATTCGCAAAATATAGCAACAACAAAAGAGAAAGGAAAAAGAGAAAATTCCTTTACCCTAAAAACTGGAAAAATAATTTGTTTTACAAAAGTCAAATGGGACACTTCATGTATTGATTTAACAGTGTGCAAGGAGTTAGCCTTACATTTTAGCAAAATTGGGAAAAATCAGATGTTTCTGGAAAATTGCAGCTTGTAAGGGGTGAACCTTGCATTTTTTAGCGACATTGGGCAAAATCAGATCTTTCTGGAAAATTTCAGATTGTAAGGGGTTAACCTTGCTTTTGTAGTAAAATTTGGCAAAATAAGATGTGTATGAAAAATTTCAAATTGTAAGGGGTTAACCTTGCTTTTTTAGTAAAATTGGGAAAATTTAAATGTTTATGAACAATTTCAAATTGTCAGTGGTTAATTTTGTATTTTTTTAGCAAAATAGGGCAAAATCAGGTGTTTATGGAAAATTTCAGATTGTAAGGGGTTAACCTTGCATTTTTAGCAAAATTGGGCAAAATCAGATTTGTATGAAAATCAAAAATTGTAAGAGGTTAACCTTGCCAAATTAGGGCAAAATCAGATGTTTCTGGAAAATTGCAGATTGAAAGGGGTTAACCTTGCATTTTTAAGCGAAATTGCGAAAAATCAGATGTTTCTTGAAAATGGAAGATTGTAAGGTATTTTTAGCATAACTGGGCAATATCAGATTTATATGAAAAATCTCAAATTGTAAGGGGTGAACCTTGTATTTTTAGCGAAATTGGGCAAAATCAGATCTTTCTGGACAATTTCAGATTGTAACGGGTTAACCTTGCTTTTTTAGTGATATTTGGCAAAATAAGATGTGAATGAAAAATTTCAAATTGTAAGGGGTTAACCTTGCTTTTTGTAGTAAAATCGGGCAAATTTAAATGTTGATGAAAAATCTCAAATTGTAAGGGGTGAACCTTGCATTTTTTAGCAAAATATGGCAAAATCAGGTGTTTATGAAACATGTTAGATTGTAAGGGGTTAACCTTGCATTTTTATCAAAATTGGGAAAAATCAGATTTGAATGAAAAATCAAAAATTGTAAGAGGTTAACCTTTGCCCAATTAGGGCAAAATCAGATGTTTCTGGAAAATTGCAGATTGAAAGGGGTTAACCTTGCATTTTTAGCAAAACTGGGCAATATCAGATTTTTATGAAAAATCTCAAATTGTAAGGGGTGAACCTTGCATTTTTAGCAAAATTGGGCAAAATCAGATGTTTCTGAAACATTTCAGATGTAAGGGGGTTAACCTTGCTTTTATAGTAAAATTGGGCAAATTTTAATGTGCATGAAAAATTTCAAATTGTTAGGGGTTAACCTTTCATTTTTTAGCAAAATACGGCAAAACCAGGTGTTCATGACAAATTTCAGATTGTAAAGGGTTCACCTTGCATTTTTAGCAAAATTCAGAATAATCAGATTCGTATGAAAAATCAAAAATTGTAAGAGGTTAACCTTTGCCAAATTAGGGCAAAATCAGATGTTTCTGGAAAATTGCAGATTGAAAGGGGTTATCCTTGCATTTTAAGCAAAATTGGGCAAAATGAGATTTTTATGAAAAATCTCAAATTGTAAGGGGTGAACCTTGCATATATTAGCAAAATTGGGCAAAATCAGATGTTTTTGAAAAAAAATCCGATGTAAGGAATGAACCTTACTTTTTTCTTTAGTGATATTTGGCAAAATCAGATGTGAATGAAAAATTTCAAATTGTAAGGGGTTAACCTTGCTTTTTGTAGTAAAATCGGGCAAATTTAAATGTTGATGAAAAATCTCAAATTGTAAGGGGTGAACCTTGCATTTTTTAGCAAAATAGGGCAAAATCAGGTGTTTATGAAAAATGTTAGATTGTAAGGGGTTAACCTTGCATTTTTATCAAAATTGGGAAAAATCAGATTTGTATGAAACATCAAAAATTGTAAGAGGTTAACCTTTGCCCAATTAGGGCAAAATCAGATGTTTCTGGAAAATTGCAGATTGAAAGGGGTTAACCTGGCATTTTTAGCAAAACTGGGCAATATCAGATTTTTATGAAAAATCTCAAATTGTAAGGGGTGAACCTTGCATTTTTAGCAAAATTGGGCAAAATCAGATGTTTCTGAAACATTTCAGATGTAAGGGGGTTAACCTTGCTTTTATAGTAAAATTGGGCAAATTTTAATGTGCATGAAAAATTTCAATTTGTTAGGGTTAACCTTGCATTTTTTAGCAAAATACGGCAAAACCAGGTGTTAATGAAAAATTTCAGATTGTAAAGGGTTCACCTTGCATTTTTAGCTAAATTTGGAAAAATCAGATTTGTATGAAAAATCAAAAATTGTAAGGGGTTAACCTATGCCCAATTAGGGCAAAATCAGATGTTTCTGGAAAATTGCAGATTGAAAGGGGTTAACCTTGCATTTTTAGCAAAACTGGGCAATATCAGATTTTTATGAAAAATCTCAAATAGTAAGGGGTGAACCTTGCATATATTAGCAAAATTGGGCAAAAACAGATGTTTCTGAAAAATTTCAGATGTAAGGGGGTTAACTTTGCTTTTTTAGTAAAATTGGGCAAACTTTCATGTGCATGAAAAATTTCAAATTGTTAGGGGTTAACCTT